AGAGAGAGAGAGAGAGAGAGAGAGAGAGAGAGAGAGAGAGAGAGAGAAAAGGAGCGTACGTCGCATCACAATAATAATAAGCAACTACATCCATCAGCTTGGTTGTTGGTTTTTTTTTTCTTCTCTTCACTTCAATTCTTTAAACGGTTTGTTCCGATGTTTCGTCTCAGAACCGAATGCTACCATTTCAATCATCCACCATATTTTTCTGTGTCGTTTTTTTTCTTTCGTGCATGATGAATTGTGCATAGTTTTATTTTGAATGGCTTGCGTGCACATTTCAACGTCTTTCGCATTTGTAAATAGCATGTAAAAATCGATGTCGCATTGAAAATCGAAGTCGATTAATTGTCAAATCGATTGCGATTGCGATTGTGAATGTCGAGAATGTGGAGGGGAAAAGGTGACAAAAAAAAACCAAACGACAGAGAGTGAGAGAGAGAGAGAGAGTGAAAAAAGTCAAAGAACCAATCAAACAGGAAATGTTCAACACAGCACAGCTAGATGAATGCATAGGCTATATAAACTACTGAAATCGAATAACTTATATCGAGAAAAAGAGAGAAAAAACAAACTAGTAGAAAAATATCCAATTTCCTTCAGCTGGGAACCAACTACTATTAATCTAAACAAAACATAATTACACAACAATGTTGTGTGAATGTAACTTTAGTTCGATTGAGCTTGTGTGTGTGTTTTTCCGCCTATTCTCAGACGATTCAGAATGAAAACACACATTTTAGCCGCCTGCAGCGACGACAACAACAATGACGACGACGGCGATGATGATGAACACACAAAAAATAAAGAAAGAGAGAGAGAAACCACACGCACACACGTTCACACATGGATTGAATGAAGATTGAAGCAATAGTCGAATGACAGAAACAAAAGTAAAATTTGGAATATTGAAACGAAAAACGTCGAGACGAAGGCATAAACTACTAAAAAAAATAGTATATAAACAAATGTACCAAAAATAAATCATCGTCGTCGTCGTCGTCGTTGTGATGTTGAAGTTAATACCAACATAGAAACTGAATGCTAAGAAGCTTTGTCATTAGAGCAGCCAGTTTTGGATATCACATTCTAGCCTGAGCATATTAAGAGCTAGTGAATAACCTTAACGAATGCACGTATTTGTGAATTGCACACAAACAAAGCTGTCAAAGATGAAAAGGAGGCAGCGAACAACAGCAGCAGCCGTAAAGTAGCAATAGCAACGACAAAAGATTAGAAACGAAACTAATGTAATAATAAACAATGATGACGATGACGATGACGATGATGATGATGATGGAGGCATACAAGTCGGCCGAGCGAGAGTTTGGATGCGTAGCAGATTCGTAGAATTTCTGTCGAAAAAAATAATGCATCTGTAGACTGTTTATTTGTCTGATTTGGTGTGTACGACTGTGTGTGAGTATTAAAGTGTGTTCATACATCTCTCTCTCTCTCTCTCTCTCTCTCTCTCTCTCTCTCTCTCTCTCTCTCTCTCTCTCTCTCTGTGTGTGTGTGTGTGTGTGTGTGTGTACGAGTATAGACGTATAAATGTGCATTAAGGCCGCGAGTGAATGCGCAAAACATAAAACAGTTTAGCGCGTGCACCGCTGTTATGTGTGCTATCACTATAAACTATCCATGTATTGATGCTATGTTGATGTTGTTGCTGCTGTTTTTTTTTTGCCTGCTCTCTGTTTCGTTCTTCTGGTTTGCTAAAACCCAACTAAATACATAGCTTTGTGCAGGCAAAATCATATACCATTTCTTGATGCATGTTTATATAATCTGCTGTTGACCCTCGTCATGAGTCCTCCGCAAGACTTTTTGTTTTTGGCTCGAAATCGATTTCGATACCGAGTAACAGATAGAAAAACTCGCGCCAATCGATCGTTTCTGCTGGCAAATACAAAGAAATATGGCTGTTATACGGCTCAAACGATACGGCTGTTATACGGGGCGAAAATGAATGGGAATCGGTTCGAAAGTGAATTTTGAATAGTGAGCACTGGGACAGGAGGTGAACCGTCTATCGTGTATATATATATATTCTAGCATATGGACCGTTCGGTCGCGCGCCATGCTGACTTTACTATTACGTGTATTTTTCAGATGGATGAACGAGAGACAGAGAGGGAGAGAGAGAGAGGGAGAGAGAATAAGGCAGCGTTTAAACATGAGAGTTCAACGTACCGCCGTACGCATCCGTGCGCGCATATACAAACACAACTATAATCGCAGCCACAAACGTTTGCTCGCTCGCACGCCCGCTCGCTGTGTGTCCAAAATTTTCTACATTGATTCAAGTTCGTCGTTTCACGCGCACACAAACACATTCACACACACACACACACGCACACGTCGTTGCACGGGCGCAAAACAAAAATAACAACAACAACAACAACAACACGGCTAACAAAAATCATAATAACAGCATGCAGTGTGCTCGCTTCACATTGTTGTTGCTTTTAATGATTATAGCCTCTCTTGCTGCCTATATAGTTTTATTTGAGATTTTTACTTTTTCCGCGTTCACATGCAGAGAGTATGCGTGCATGTAACGCTGTCGCTCCCTCTTCATTCGTCCTCATCGTCGTTGTCGTCGTCGTCGTTGTTGTTGTCGCTGCATTCGGTTGGATTGTTGTGTATTTTGCTCGGAATGACAATAAGATACACATACACAGAAGTATTCGTGTCGCTTGCTCGCACGCCAACCGCAATTCTCATTCACTCTCTGTCGCTCACACACAGAGACAGACAAACACACATACACCAACACGAATGCGCGCATACGGACTATTGAACCGTACATTGTTAGTTTTTTCGTTAGTTGTGTGTTGATGATAAAGATCAAACATTAAAATAAACAACAACAAAATACCGAATACATGAAAGCCCATCAATGTCTGAAAATGCAACACGCAAAAGTGAGTTCCCGTTCATTCTCTCTCATTCTCATTCTCTCGCTCGCTCGCTCGCTCGCTCGCTCGCTCGCTCGCTCGCTCGCTCGCACTTACATCCACACAAAATAGTCCAGTGTATGTGTGCTTGAAGAGTTCTATTTTCAAATACTTACTCTCGACACTCCATTATATCCCCCCTCCCCCCAAGAATGCGCACGGCCGTAAAATGTCTATGCACATTATATACAAGAAGCGATTTTTGGGTGATTGGCCATAAACATTTTTGAACACCACTGACCATGCATCGCATGCATCGTCATGAACGAACGGCCCGTCATCAGCCGATACACAACCGCGCCGATATACTACCGGACGAGAGATTCATTTCATCAATTCGCACGGCCAGTCAAATGCGCTATTTTTTATGTATAAAACCAAATGCGGATATATTTAGAAATTGTGTATTTATAGAAATGAACGCTTGATAAATCGAATCATTTTATCCATGGGAGATTGGATGATTTTAATCGTGTGCGAAAACACGATAAATGGCTACAATTATTGTCAGAGTCAATAAACAGAGACATTCATTGTCAATTTCAATAGAAATAATGATCATTGTCAATTTCCATGGGATAATAATAATCATTGAGATTCTAATAGACATTGACAGCTTTTTCTGTTGTTTAACATAGCAAGGGATACATAGAGAGACAGAAAACAACAAAAAAAGAAGAGAATTTATATACTTTCTCATCCCGAAAAACAAGCCAGCAGGTTTCGGAAGCAAGAATGCTTCTTTTCCTTGGTCGTTCGTTTACTCTTTCTCGGCATTTATCATCTGAATTCCACGTGATGGTACATAAAAACCCAGAGAGAGAGAGAGAGAGAAAAGGATAGAGAGACAGTAAAAATTTATGTGCGTCGCCGCGCAGCATTTGGAATGAGTTGAGCCACTGACTTCTTCAAGCAGCGAGCTTTTTATTCGGTTGTTTGGTTGGCTCATCTCTGTTGGCTCTTCTATGCCCCTCTCATTTGCTCCCGCTCTTTCTCTCTCTCTCTCTCTCTCTTCCGCTTTGTTTTATTCTCTAGCGACGAGAGATTTTTGTCACCTTAAAATTAAGTGCTGCAACGATGCCCATCACCATCACCATCACCATCACCATCACCATCACCATCATCATCATCATCATCGAAATGTTAATGTCCGAAACAATACCGCGTACATATATTTTTTTCAAATGGTTCTTGTTCTAGTTTGAATGGGCTGTGAGTATGTTTGTTTTTTGTTTCGTTTGTTTCATGACTCTTTTGAACAGCAGCCACAGCAACAACAACAGCGACAAAAAACATGTTGTAATGGCTTGCATTCAATGTATAAATAAAAGACAAATACCATACAATGCACGCCTAAAATAGTGACTTTCAAATATCATAACTTTCGATAGGTTTTTCGTTCCGAAAAGCGCATATATACACATACATCATCCGCTATATATCAATTTTGGAACGGTATTGTATGTGCAATGATGGCGTTGCCGAGTATTGACAAAACGTGCGCGCATGATACATTCTCAAAAATCTATATATACCTAACGAAAATCAAATGGTAGTAGTGGTATATATATGTATGTGTGTGTGTGTGCTTGTAAGTAAGCAAAAGTGTATCGTAACGAAAATAATGTAAGCTGCTTTATAATTTCCATCCTATGTTCCTGTCAAACAACGACGAATACACGAAAAAAAAACAAACTAACAACAAAACACACCAATCTAAGTAATATCTATATTGAAGCGATTCATTTTTGTTGCATTTTAGTTGTTTTTTTTTGCGCTCTCTTCTATATTGTTTATCGGTTATATCTCTATTTCGTTGCTGGTTTTTTATTCCACTGTGACTCATTTCACTAGTTGATTGTTTCCTACTTTGTTTCGATGCACATTTTAATTAATCACATTGACGAAGACAACAAAAAATGCTGCTTTCATTGAATAGCAGCAGCAGCAGCAGCAGCAACGACTACGACGGCAAGCAAGAATAAATTTGTCTAAAAAGAATATAGATAGAGTTACATGACTATAGTTGATGTGTGATAAACCAGAAATTTATTTAGTCGGAAGACTGTGACTTTTACTTCCTTTCGGTTGCTGCTGTAAAGTGAGTGAGTGAGTGAGAGTGTCTGAGTGCGCGCGACTATATGTGACTTCAGGTGAAAAAGATGTACGTAATGTGTGTAATAATAATAATGTAATCGGCTCAGTAAATGGCAACAATTCTGTCGCGGTGTACTTCGTTCTTCTATTTATTTTTGTAATATATTTCTCTTCTGGTCTCTCTCTCTCTCTCTCTCTCTCTCTCTCTCTCTCTCTCTCTGTGTGTGTGTGTGTGTGTGTGTTTTTGCTCATGTTGTGCTGTTTTATTGACGTTTCCATTTTGCCTGAATTAGATGTTGTGTAAACTGAACACCATTTTCGAAGGCTCTGAAAACAAGAAGAGACACACACGAGAAAAAAAAACACGACAACATGAAATAAGAAGACGGATAAAAAGGCAGCAAACAACTGAGAAATGAATTTTACGAAATACATCGCGAGCGCACATCTCCCTCTCTCTCTCGCGGGCGCACATCTTCCTCTCTCTCTCGCGGGCGCGAACCCAACGCATCTCTCGTGTGTTTTATGCTCTTTTATAGTTCTTTTTTTTTATTATTATTATTATTTTGATTCTAAGAAAATGTGTTCTCTCGCGCCGGAGCTGAATATGAACACGAAAAACAACAACAACAACACTAGCGACAAAAAGCAGCAAAAGAATCAAGTGAAGAAGGTTCGTTACTTCTTTTCTGTTGCTGTTGTTGTTCTTTTTTTGTACTCTCTATCATTTTGTGTCGGCTTGTCTTTCACGTTTTTAGCTCACGTACACCGTGCCGCGCGCATTTTTGTGGGCAAGGGTCATTTGAGTGCCTTTTGTTTGAGCATTCATTATTAGGTAGTGGCCAGCCATATCTCTTCCTCTCTATCTCTCTCTATTTCCACTTGAAAAAACATGATAAAAATGTTGTAACATACTTCTATGATTTAAGATCGTATGACGCATTGACCACATAAATTCGTTTTACACACAGTTAGCATTTGTTGTCGTTAATTTTCGGAATAAAACTACGGAAATTAATTTTGGCGTTGTTTTTTTTTCTCTTCTCTTTGAAAACCAAATAGTGGTGTGGCAACATTGAGCATAACCGATTCTAGTGCGACATCCAGTGAAGATGCATCAAATCTCGATTCACCCGATAATCCAGCGATAAATACGGATTTGCTGCATCATTTGAATGGGCCAAGATGTTTGAAACAGAATCATCAGGTACCCAACAATAACAACAACAGTCAACACAATAAAAATAAACAAGTACTGATCACAAAACACTGTTCCTCTCTCTATCTCTATCTATTTGTTTACACAATGGCTTGCAATGTTTTTTTCGGCCGTCATTTGCAAACTAATTGCTAAATTGCTTCGTTTGTTTTGCCTTTTGTTTGCTTTACCATAGGAAACGGTATCGAATGCGCCACCGTTAGCATGGCCATGGAATGTCAATTCACAAATAGCAACAGTAGCCGCAGCAACATCGACTGGTGCCACCGCCACCGCCATCGTCGCCGCAACAGCAATAGCATCAGCATCATCGACAGCAACAACAGCTACATCTAACGAATCAACAAATGCTCCAATGCCACCATTGACACTATCAAAATCGTCAATTCTAAGCGAAAATAAGACAAATAGTAGTAGTAAAAAACGTAACCATACACCGGATACCGTTGGCGCAACAGTGAACAAACGCAATCGATCGAGCAATAGTAATGGTAAATTGATTGTGAAAACGACCGTTTTCATCACCATCATCCACATTCACATTTTGTACTCAAATATAGACAGTTCTGACATCTCTTGTTTTTCTTCTCCTCTTTTCTTGTTTTCTTCTTTACACAGTAAATTCGACGGCGAATAATCAAACATCTGAAAGCGAAACAGATGCGACAAATAGCACGAAGCGAACGAGTATACCGAATGGATTGAGGTCTTCATCTACCATAAATTCAGGGATAAATGTAAGCAATGGCAACGCACCGAATATACGATCACAAACCAAAATTACGGGATTCTTTAAGACTCAAATGAAAGCACTGCCCAGCCTTCGAAAAGATTTAACCAATATGGTTGTACGACCGACAACAACCGTTTTTCCACATATAACAACCACCACTACGACCACCACACAACAAAAGGACGACACAACACGACTATTGAGCGATACAATCGCTGTTGCTGCTGCTGCGACTGCTGCGGTAACAGCAAACGGTAGCACTGCCACCAACATTAAATTAGACACGTTACCAACATCGTCTGCATCCATCACCAGCACCGCCACTATTTCACTGGGTAAAAAAGTTGAGCGAAAAACGGCCAAAGTTTCACCAATTTCACGCAAATCGAATGCCATGAAAAATAAATCATATGCTAACGTACTGCCAAAGAAACATGTTAACATTGCTCCACGAACCACATCGATGACGGTGCCGTCAATTGGTCTGTCAACAATGGCCGACACAATTAAATCACAACAAACAAAAATGATACAAAGTGTGACGCAACAGCGTTTACACGTGAAACTATTGAAACGTCAAATGGAATTTGGCGGCCAGACTGATTATGGCGTTGTCCCGTTGCTGACAACCCTACATTTGCCACCCGGTACTGGCACCGCACAAACACAACAACAACAACAACAACAACAACAACAGCAAAACGCTGCCGCTGCTGCACTTGGCGCCGTGCAATCGAACCAATCGCTACAGGCACAACCGAAAAATTTGCCACAAACACAAAAACCAAATGGTGCCATTTACCAATTGCATCCCACATCTGTAATACAATTTCCAGTGGCTACAAAAGAGACCAACACACAAACCGCAAACAATATTGTCGTTAACAATGGATATTTCATCAATGGTGCTTTGATAAAATTGCAACAGATGCTTGCACCAGCTACAGCGACAGGCGTCGATCAGCAATTTCGTCAAATCAAGGATGTACAATCGCAGTCCAATGTAAGTATTCATCTCTCGCTGCTTAAAGAGCTGTCAGTCATTTCTCTTCTTTAATTCCGAATCGAAACGATGAATTGTGATCGCGATTGAGTCATTGCTTTTGTTCGTTTCGTATTCTATAGCATATTTTTTGGCATCACAATCACCATGAATCATTCCATATGTTTATTTTTCCCCTTGTTTCTGTTTTGTTTCTGTTTTGTTTCTGTAGGCGGTACAAAATCTTAGCGATCAACATTTGTCCATGTCACAGAAGTCAGCCTATGCACAGCAGCCGAATCAAGCGAAACTTGCACCAGCACCGACCCTCGTTCAAGATGCAACGCAACCACTAACAAATCACAATGATCTCACGCAGCATTTTGTTGCGAATGGGCCAACGAATGCTCAATTCGCACAGCCAGTTTTCATACCAACATCATCTGGGCTATTGTTAACGGCCGCACTGCCCACCATGCTCACATCGCAAATATCGAATTTGCAACAAACAATGGGACAACCGCCAACAATGGCCGCATTGCATTCGATGAACGATAAAACTGGGTTAGCCGTTTCAATTGAAAAGCGATCATGCATCAATATGCAAATTCCACAACAAACACTAGCTGTGACTTTACCCCCCGACAATAATATGCAACCGAATTTTATGCCAAATAATTTTGCATTTGGTATGAATACAGCGGCAACTGTTCCTATGAATCAAACGACTACGACGGCCACGATCAATGTGGGCGTTGGTGCGGACAAAGGTGCGACCGGTTTTCAGCGATCAAATTTATTGTCATCGATGACATTAGCGCAACAGCCGCTGCAACAATCAGCGCCATCACTGCCACCGCAACAACAGTATACACCGCAAAAGATCACCGCCACCACATCGACCAATACACTTTCACTGCCCGTAACATTTTCACTATCAGCACCACCGCCGCTATGTGTTCAATCGAAAGACATGGTACAATCAAGCAATCATTTGAATATATCGAATCCACAAATTTCCATCGCCACATCAATTTCGACGGCTTGCCAACTAATGCCCAACAATATCGATAGTATTGGGTGCAAGGTAAGGACCCTACTTGCAATTATATTCTAACGAATCAAGTCGCTGTATTCGAATCACTAACTCATGTTTCGTAACTTTTTTCTTCTCAAGGTGCCCAACGCAGTTGATTTCAGGCATACGGAAGCTGTGAAATGCATACAGAATCATGACAGCAAAGTTAATTCTAAGACAATCGAAAAATCTTTGGATACATCTTATTTGACTGATAGTATAAGCAATAACATATCAACGAAACAGATCTCTTCTGTACGAGACACTAGGGATTCACAACAAAATGATCTCAAATCGATACCAGCACTGGTTGAATGTGTTCAACTGGATAAAGTAACCGAAAAATCAGCGACGACGACGATGATGACGACGACGACGACGACGACGACGAGTACGACGATAACGGTTCAAGCGAATGACGCCGAAACAATGACGGAAAAACAGGTCACTACATCCATTACAGCATCAGTTGGAAGCGATTGTATGCAACGCACAACGGAACTCGACACCAATCTTATCAACAATGCTTCGTTACCTGAAAGCTCCAAAAGTCCCATTCTATCACAACCGAAAACCATTCGTTTTCCAGCCAATGGATCACGCAATGCGAACGATCGACGTACGGCCGGCTGCTGCTATTGGGATGATTGTAATGAAAACTGTGAAACCAGCTCGAATTTATTGGATCACTTGCAAACGAAGCATGTGAATCCACAGCAGGCACCATTTTCGTGCCGTTGGGCCAACTGTAAGGTACATGGACGCGAATCATGCTCACGGAAATGGCTTGAACGGCATGTTCTTTCGCACGGCGGTTCAAAACTTTTCAAATGTATCTTTGAAAAGTGTCGCATGCGGTTCGGTTCGCAGGTATGGATTTTGTGTTTTGATTGAGGATTTTTTTAGTCAAGGGATTTTCGCTTTCGATGGAAGAAATATCACTTGATGCAGAGGAAATTTCCATTCTTCCGACAAAATTCTTTTAACTCAATTAAAATGAACGTATTCAATACTCACGAAAGTGGTTTACTCTCATTCACAGCTGGCACTGCAGAAACATGTGAATGGACACATCAACAGTAATGAAAACAATAAAGATTCGACGGTACGACGATTGTCCGATCCACCCGTTCCAAAGAAGCTACGCGTTAATGGCAAACGATTGCGGTATCGACGACAGCCGTTTTCAGGTGAGATTTTGACTTTGATTCATTGTCTGATGAAATCAGGTGGAGGGTACAAATTGAAGTACCCCCTGGAAGATATACACTGGAGGCAATCTGATCTCCTATAGCATTCATATATGAATGCTATGCAACATATGGCAAATTGCCATTGGCAATCGATTGTTCCATCCAATCACATGCTTCTTCTCACATTCATGAATGAGTTGTTAATTGTTCGATATGATTTCAGCCCGAATGTTCGATTATTTTGATAACGGTGTGATGGAAGAGTTGCAGCATCGCCTTTTGCACACGGTGACCATAACGAATGGAGTATCCGAAGCGATAACGTTCAAGGGCCGATCGATTGGAAGACGAGTAACTGCCACTGGTTCAGTTGAATTGCTGATCAAATGGAGCCCCAACGACATGTAAGTGGTTTGAATCAGCTCGAACAAGAGTAAAATTTTAGACTAAACTATTTTGCTGTCGAATCAATTGGTCAAAAATATCAAACACAATAACAAAACTGGAATTGAAGCATAAAAAATTAATGGATTTTTTTTCTCCCTCCCTCTCTCTCTTTTCTTCCAGCATCTCCGATGAATGGATGTCAGCCACGAATAAAACCTCATTCACAAAAACCGTTCAACTCACTGCCTTGACACAGTCTGAGCGCATTTCTCTCATGGAGCATTTGAATTATTTGTACAAATTTCCGACGAACATATTACCGACACCTTCATCATCATTAACTAGCACTAGTAGTAGTAATTCGAATAATGATACCTATTCATCCGATGAAATCAGTAAAAAATCGTGACCATCACTTTACTATATTTAACAAAATGAACAAATTTTGATAGATGAGGATTTATTTGAAGCGTAAATATGAATATTAAGGGAGCCCGTATGTTGTGCCCATCTCCTGCGATGCAAAGATAATGAAGAAATACCGGAAAACAAAGAAGAGGAGAGAAATAGAAGCAACTACAAAAAAAATCTAGTTACAATTAACGTGTATGCGCGAATTTAGGATTTAGTATTTTGTAGCGAGAGAGAAACAAAGAAAGCGAGTGTTAAATGAAAATTGCGATTTAGGTGTTATACACAAACACAAAGATCCTTTCGTTCAAATAAGCAAAAAAAAAAACCTAAGACGAAACTCGTTACTTCGTTTGAGCGCAAATTCAAAATTCAAACATGAACGAACGCGATCCGAACAGCAAACAAATCATAATTTATTCACATTTTAGTGAGTGCTAGGAAACGTGTTTCATTACCACACAATGATTTAGATTAATTTTTAGTTTTGGCAACTCAATTCTGACGGACTGAACATGAAATAAGATCTAGAAAACAAATCGATATCCAAATTTTTTTTTTTTTTTGTATAATTTACTTGAACTTTTTTTTTCTCGAAATGAAGCGAATTACGAAAATATCGTCTTCGAAGCTTTGCTATATGTATGAGCAAGCAGACCCTTAAGAATTTATAATCTAGTTAAAATATCTAAAAAAAAGAAAACAAAATAATATCTGTTGTGATGCACAAAAAAAAAACAAGGAGCACATGTTCCAACCAATGGACTCGTTGGCTCGTTTACGTCAATATTATTATATTAATTAGTTTCGTCTCCATTTGGTCCGAAGAAATAACGATAATAGAAACGATAGGAATTTAGCTTTCACTCCACAATGGAAAGCGGATTGGTGAATAATCCAACAAAAAACAAGCTGCCAGAATCATACGGATGAAAATGACACAGGTCAATCAATCGGAACGAAAACTGCCAATGACTTTTTGGTTCGGGTGTTGAGCGCACAACATTCGGCATAGGCAATCTTTTTCTTTTCGGAAAGAGAACGACAGTGAACCGGCTATGTTCGGCTCAAAGTTAGTAAAATATTTTTTTTTTCTTTTCAAACTCTCAACACTCTTCTCATATGACTGCTGTTTTTATTTCTTTTAAATTGATCACTTGATATAATCGATGACAGTTTAGAACTAGTTGCTAGTTCAAAAAAGACAAATCGAATTTTTGTTTTGTATAAATTGCAATTTTCCATTTCCAGAACCGGCAATTTTGTTGAAGAAAAACAGTGGCATGCCTTTTTGTATGTGCGTCTCATACGATGTTCATTTTTTTTTGGAAGAGAAAGAGGAGTAGATGAAGTAAGAAAGAGATAGAGATAAAGATAGAGAATGAGAGAGCGCTCGCGCACGCAGGAAGCCGTCGCGTAAAATGTCATTTTGGGGAAACTCACACACACACACACACAAAATATTATTATTAGATTTAGTGAACGATTTATTCCTTTATATTGATGTATTTTCGTCATAGTATAAAAACATGAAATATTTATACACGGTTCAATCAGCCAAGCGACATTATTTCGACGATTTTCCTTTTCTTTCTGTCACTTTTTTTTGGATTCACTTTCCAAAATGAGTTGTAATTGCCGTTTTTTTTTTCGTTCATTCGTACATTCATTCGTACATGCTAGCATTTAGTGATCAGCCCAGTGAAGTCTGTTAAAGTGCGAATTTTTTTCTTCTGTCCCCAATAAATGCATCCTCATTCTCATTTGTGAAAATGCAATCGAATTTTTTTTTCTCTTGAAACAAAAAAAGAAAACAAAAGATTGGAACTTAATGGAAAAAAAACACACAAATTTTATTTTTTATACAATTTTCTTATTTATTTTAATTCCTTCAAATTTTTAAAAAGTTAATTTTAGACGATTTTCTTAAGTACGAATTTTCTTCGAAAAATAAAACAAACGCAAAAATTGAAATTTTCGTGCAGTGTACGGCACATTTAGAGTGAAAAATGATGAGTTTTGGTCTCGGACACTTCCATTGAGAAAAGAAATTCTCCGATTGAAATTGCAAAGAAAAGCATTCAAATTCTTGATTGAAATTCGGTACAGATTTTACCATTGCAAATTATTTGCAACAAAATTTATCGAAATTTCTTTTCGTTTTGGTGTGGTGACATTTTACTTCCCCCGAACACAGAACTGTAGACTGTTTGGAAGATTCATTGTCTTATTTATTAGTCACAATACGAGGGAATTTTCTAAAAATAAACACATTTGTCTTTAGTTGAAATTTTTTTAGTAAAAATTAGATGAAAAATTGAACACAAAATTTATCTCGACTCGTGTTATTTCGAACTGATTTTTTTCCCACATTTTTTTTTTTAAACGAATTTTTAACGTAAAAAAAGAAAACTTATTGTCCAAAATGATGACGATGATGAAATAATAAAGAAATAAGAAACAATTGCCATTGGATAGAATCGAGTAGGATCGTTTTATGATTTTACTTCAAATCGAAATTATTCATAGACACAAACACATTCTGATTTCAGTCATTTAGTTGAGATGTATCTCAAACTAATTTATATGTGAACAAAACCGAAAAAAAAACCTAAGAAAAAACAACGTTTGTGAGGTAATCGTTAAATTGATTTCTCTGGTCTCGACAACAAACAAACAAACCAACCAACACGTAAATCATCTTCCTTTCTTGTTCTCACAACAATCATCCTGATGATCATTAGTCTATTTTAATTCGATTTGATATGATTTTTTTTTCCTTTCGAAATGATCTAATTTAAAATGATATGTTTACTGATTCCGATATATTTATGATCGAAAGCAGTGTGGTCAAAATAGTGAAAAATAACTAATAATAATAGTAATGAAAAAAACGAAGAAAATGAACCCGTTTAACTAAAAAATGAAGAAAAAAATACAAAACGTAATGAACCCTTGTGCATATATAGTAAGCAGAAATAAACAAAAACCCAGCCAACATTTATATATCGATATCGTAGACATACGCAAATCGGCGCGATTTATTAAATGAAATTTTTATTTGATAAGAAGTAGATATCTTTTTTTATATAAAAAAAAACAAATATATATATTTATATATATATATATATATAAATATATGAATGTAATGTTCTCGTAAAACAGCAAAAAATAGCAGAGAAGAAGAAAACAGCTCGATGTAGTACTGATTAAGTGAAAATAAAACCCAAATTATGGGATTGATTGTAGCACTGTAACCAACAAAACACACACACACACACACATTAAAACATAAAATATACAGAAAACAATTTCATATTTAGTTCTAATCAGTGGCATTTTCTTTCCGGCCACTTGAATTTGAAACGTACAGTCGTGTTGTCGCGCCAAATTCAAGCCGGAGACATGATATGATGATTAAACTTCTTTTTTTTTTCTTTAGATTTATGGCAAATAGTTGAAATCGAAATGGAAAACATTGTCACGAACGTATATTTCATACATAAAAATCGAATAAATAAAAACGTTAATTATGATATGTGGTAAACAAAATAATAAAAAATTTGAAACAAAAAAAAACAACCGCTATCGATTTTAATTGACCATTCTTATGTTCATTGAACAGTGACTCTCCCACAAAAATCGCTTGTCTGCAGCGGAAAAGGCAGCAAACACGCGAAAATCGAAAAAAATAGAAAAACGTCGCGCCTTTACTGTGGAAATAACCCCACCCCCCCTCAACATCGACGCCATACATAATGTAACAATGATATGTATGCGATTTGGTCAAAGTAACTGGCCATGTTCACCTTGAAGCTTTCGAAAGATTTCGTACTGATGTAATAGAAAAAGAGAAAAAAAAACGCTCGCTCGCACAGTTGCTCGCTCAATAGCACAAAATGCTGCACACGCGACGAAAAAGAAACTTTTGTCTCAACAACCAATGTAAGCAAAGACGACGGTTGAGTCATATTGGTGCATTGAATGAAAGAAAAACCAGTAAACAAATGGACAAAAACGAGTACGTTCTTTTTGAAAAGAAACAACTGTATTTAGGTTTGATTCAGAATCGATGAGAGAGGGCGTTATTGAGAATCGCAAAAGAACCCCCTCCCTTGTGAAAACAAAAATCAAAACGGTCGATGATTTCAAATGAAATTCTGAGGAACAATTTGAAAAAACCCATATGAATGCACCTTTTTGGCGATATCCAGTGGAATCGTTCCTGTTTGGCTCTGCTAAACATAAACAACAGCAACCGAGAGCAGCTACAGCAATAGCGGAATGGTTACGTCAATAGCAAGAGGCCAAACGAAACCGAATGTCGACACACTCTGTCACTACACCAATTAAACGTTACGACAATAAGCCGCGCACACAAGCAGCAGCAGCAGCAGCAACAACAACAGCCGTACACAGCACACACAATCTGCTGCTATAGTATTCATTCCACACACTGAGCGAGAGATCCAAAACTATCACGCGCGCGCGCATTGCACTTAAAGAAGGAGAAGAGAGAAAAAAACACACAACACGGAGACAACATTCGAATCAAAGACATCCCATCAATGTGTGGTAGCAAATTAGTGAATTTTTGTGAATTAAAATCATCGAATTGATTTCGATTTGCGTCCAATATTTTTGGTTGACATTTGATTTTGAAAATAGTGTACGATAAATACTGTATGTACGATTTAAATAATAATAGTAGTCGTAGACATTTATATATCTACATATATATATATCTGAGGTGCGGAAATAATTACAAATTCTCGTGCGCATTTTGTATTTGATTAAAAAGTGTGCGTGTCCATATATGTGTGTATGGGTGTATTTAGCAAACAGCAAGAACACGCAAAGCAATGGGGATGACAAACCCAAAAAATTCATAGAATGGATTTACAATTGATGAATAAATTTTGATACCAACCAAATTTTCAGCCATATTTATTGGCAAAATTGCCAGAGAGAGAGAGAGAGAAAGAGAGACGAGCTAAATAAAAAAAGTCAAAGTGGTAAGTATTTTCGTATATTCCATTAAAAAGCGATTTCAAACAAGTCACAAATCGAATTCAATTCGATTGTATGTCATTCTCACTCACTCATTGTTTGTGTCTCTGTTTCTGTCTCATTCTCCAGAGAATTCAATCATATTCTATTCATGTGCATTTTGTGTAACTGAGTCATCGATCGGACAGTATACAGGCGAGTGAGCCAATGAATGATGAAAAAGAGACGGAGAGCGAGAAAGAGAGACACAGAGTACGAGAGAAAGAGAACAAAACAACGAAGAAAAACAACAACATTTGTATTCATGCTAACGAATTCAAACCAGAAATGAAGAAAAATATAAAACGACTGGATGATTCATCGTTGAAAAATCTGGTCGATGCTAAATTTTTTTTCTTTCTTACTCGCTCTCTCTCTCTCTCTCACACACACACACGCTGGAAGATAAAAGGGGCGACTTACGCATCAATCTTGATGCAGATTTTGAAATGTTGCTGTTGTGATGCATGCATAATAAACAAAGTCGGCTAGTTTAATATTCATTTTCAAAGTGTCCCGTTCCGAACTGTTTCAGATCTTCAGTCAAAGTGTGTGTGTGTGTGCCTTTATTTTTTTATTGCGAAAATTATCAGTTCTGGAATGTTAATGGTTGTCATTAAAATGAAACAGTTGAGCTAGTTGGCTTATGTATAAATCAAATTATCCAATTCGTTTTCGGCTGACTTGATGATTTAATAATATCAATACAAATGAGTGTTTATTGAAAAGCAATGAAGAACGATATGGCAACAACAAAAGCAACAACTTCGTCGTCGTCGTCGTCGTCGTCGTCCAACGAACAAAAAAGAGCTCCATTCAAACGCAGACTTTCGAGTAATTTTATAGCAGCTCGAAAATAGTGCAATAAAATGTCAGTCACGTGCGATTTTTGTTGCCTACATATATGTACTATGACGGTTAATTTTTTTTTCTCTGTTGCTGCAGCTACTATTATTTCTGCCTGAAATTTTCATTGCTAACCGACCATCGAAACACACCAAATGATCGACATCGCGAATGAAAAACAAGCAAATAACAGAGAGAAAAAGAAAAAAAAACTCGAACCAAAATTGATTGGTGGCTAGAAAATTGCAGCCTATTGCATTGGTTCCAATTTAAATCGAATCCAATTCAATGGCACAATTCCTCAATCATTTGGAAAAATGAATTCACCTTGCTATAATCACACGAACAAACATTCAAAGTTGACATGATCGCCTATTCAAAATTACCTTACAACTAACAGCACTACGAGCGAGACTCAGACACAAACACACACACGCATCGCACATGCACACATATTGGGAAGAATTACCGAAGATGGAACATACGACGACGTCGTTGACATATGTATTTGGACCCACACGCCGACTACCAACAATAAACCGTCGGCTCCGTATGGTGGAATTATGTTGAACTATTTCGCATTCAATACATACACACACAGATCGAAACAAATAGGTTTTTGTTCTTTTGATTCGTCGGTCGATGTAGTTGTGTGTATGTAGTTTTTTTTTCTGAGTATGCACATATGGAATTGTAGACAGTAGACACGACACGCGTTAAGTTGTACCAAAAATCGCACAAAGCAATCGCTCAATTGAACCGTATGAACATATTTTTGCCTATAGATCGACACATACACGGATAGAGAGAGTGAACGAGTGCGAGAGAAGATGGGGTAGACACAATACAGATAAGAGTGAGAAAAAGAGACTCAATACTCATACACCGGCATCATCATCAAATACCATCGACCATGCATACATACACACATCACTTCACATCCATACCAAACACTCACTCATACACATACACATACACGCGCGTACACCACACGCACGCACGCACACATCCAAACACACAACAACATACGGTCTCAGGGTCTATTGTACGGTTTATTGTTTGAATATATATCTGATGGTTCACTCACTTATTTCAAGCCCCAGCCTCATATAAAACAAAATGGCTAATAGTAATCACATAAAAGAAAACACCGCTACTGCATAGTGTGAACGAACAAAAAAAAAATTATACGAAAATATAATTTTTCCGTAGACTTTTTTATTTGTATATTGTAAATATTTATTTCAGTTTCGGTATTATTATTATTATTTTTTTCGTGGTGATTTTTTTTCCATTCTCGCGGGGGGTTTTTTTGTTCATCAATCCGGTGTCGAGTTTGAGTTGTGATTTTTTTCTTCTTCTCTCAACCAACCAACCAACAAATAGAAAAAAATACAATAACAACAAGTCAATCGGAAAGCAAAAAAAAAGTAGAAAAAAAAAACAATTTACGGAATATAGATGAGCAAATTAATTAAGGGTGAGAATGAAAATGAGAATATTCAAGTGATATATCGATACAATCTTTCATCTTCATCATCGTCGTCGACATTGTTGCTAATTTTTTTTTTCACTTCAAATTTTGGTATCGTGTGTGCGTTCAGTTGAGTTTTTTTTCTCTCGTTCAACAACAGAAGAGAGGAGAAAACAAACGTCGGTTTGTCCGAATTTTGTTTCTTTGATTTGTGTAGGAGTTCAAGCTCGTTTTTTTTTTAAATCATCAAAGCAATGAACTTACAAACATTTCGCTGTTGTTTGTTTCAAACAATTCGGAATTTGACTATTTTTGGACAATTACCTTGTAAAATGAATAAAAAGCAAAAAAAAAATTGAAGTGTGTAGTGCAATGCTATGGCTAATATATATATTTTTTCGGTTGGTTTCGATTGCAAAAATCGGCGATGGTTGTTGTTATTTTTTATATTTCGGCTGTATTGTTCCTTCGATTTCAAAACTTGAGTGCAAGGCCAACAATCAGACAGTTTGAAAATAATAGCAGCAGCAGATGCGGTCTTTATTCGATTTGTAGTGCATGAAGTGTTCATTATCGCTGTGTCGGCGATATTGTGTTTTCCTGTTTTGATTCTTGATATTTTTTGTTCATTTCTTTGTGTCGTTCAAAATTCATTTCTTTGTCGCACGCTCTCTGCTCGTATATTTTGGTCGGTTTATTTAAAAAAAAAATTTGTTTTTGAAATGAAGAAGAAGAAAAAACAGTGTGGGTGAACAGTGTGCGTGCGTGTGTGTATGTGTGTGTGTGACTCTTGAATTCATTTCCATTTGTCATATTGTGTGTGCGAGATACACCAGACAATCAGACAACCTATACAATCAGCAACAACACCGAAAAACATTAACCAAATATAATCCATACCATCTTCGGCAAATGCCTTCTTCTTCTTCTTTTTTTGGTTTTATTTTCTTTTTTCTCCGGTGTGCTGTTGCTTGTGTCTCAAAGGCCGAGTATGTGTCAAAGTCCCAAATGACAAACGACAAAAGACAACCACGACGACGACGACGACAACAACAATTGTCAAAGTATTTTATAATATCCAAAGTTCGTCTCCATGCCTATCTTTCTCGTTTTATATATGCCTATATAGATATCTCATTTTCGAGTCATTTCATACACATTAGTGTATAATCATTGGTACGTTGTCTTGTGCACAAGTAAATAGAACAAAACGTTGCAGAAAAATATAATAATAATAAAATAAAAGGCATACATATATACACAAAAGCAAGCGTTATTAATTGTCAGAGAGTCTCTCGGTACGGCGATTTTTTCGTAAGCGAGCCGAATAACAAACAGAGGAGAGAAGAAAAAAAAAACGTAGAAGAAAAAGAAGAAGAGAGTTGTAAATGAAACTTCACAAACGGTGAGCGAAACTGAATATATGTATTACATACATTGAACGTGTGTATTAGGCCCCGTAATAAAAATTAAACACAACATATAGGAGATAATAACCAAGTGAGTGAGTGAGTGAGAGAGAGAGAGAGAAAATCAATGTACGAACGAACGAACAAATGAAACAAGCAAAAGCAAGTAAGCAACTGAGCATACACACCATTTATTCGCACGTACAATAATCAAGCGATGGAGCAAACAAATAGTGGAGTGTAGGAAACGTTTTATAATTAGGAAGAGAGTTTGTTTTAACTTGGAAATGTTTTTGCTTAAAAACTGCTCACATGTAATATGGAAATCATCGGATAGAATACATATATCTCTGTAATCTCATCATCATTGGCGTTTTTAAAAACAAAACACGAAAATCAACAAACCCCCTTCCGAAACAATATTAATTGTTGTTGTTTAAATAACATTGCAAACTCGATTGCATTTGATGTGCATTCGATTGGAAAAAGTTTTTAAATAGAAACGAAACGAAAAATAGAAGCAAATGAAAAAAAAAACTAACCAGAAAATTATGAATATGAAAGAAGAGAAAAAAGGCACAAACACACACACACACACACACACACACACACACACACACACACACACACACACACACACACACACACACACACTCACAATATAAAGAAATAATTGCGAATAAATGAGCAACTCTAGTAGAATAACTGAGCCGGGTTGCATACGGTCCGTGCGTAAGCAATAAATAATGAAATTTCATGAAATTAGTGATTCGCTGTGAGTTTCATGACCATTGTGCGTACTCCACTCTACGAACACACTCCGCACACGGTTTTAGCAATGGATACAGAAAAGAAGAAGACGACGACGACGACGACGACGACGAAAAAAAAACAACGAACAAAACGTTATGTTTAATATGTACTCGACTTAGTTGAGTGCTGGCATTAATTTGGCTGGTGAATCAAGTGAATATTTTCGAATCGTAGATATTTTTTGTTTCTCTCTTCTGCCTTCTATATTTTCATTCAGTTGTTGCTGTTGATGATGATGGTTGTGTTGCTGTTTGTTATTTCAATCCATCTCCGGTGTGCGTTTTCTAATGTGTCTTTCGCTTTCAAGGTTTTGTGTGGCGGTGAAGCCGAACACAACACACATACGATAAGAGTAAGCGCGAGCGCGCGCGAGACCGCCTTGTGCCGTTTGTGTGATCACTGATTTGCGACGAAATGCAAGAATTCAGCAGAAGAAACATGAATCGCACCTTTTCGCTGCGTTCGGTGGTGGCTTTCACTGATTCCAGCACAGAAAATGTTGTCGTCCACTGGAAAAACCTTCAGCCATTCGAGCGAAAAGAAGCGAACGAGAAATAAAAAAAAAAGTTATTGATTGAGAAATATGTGTGTGCTTGCGATATAGCCACAAAGTTCAATTCATATTAAATTCGAATGTTGGTGATATGATGCGCGTTCGTCTTGGTTGGTTGTTTTTTTTTTGGTGTGACTGATCGTCAATGTTATGAGTCAAATACATAACATCATAAGAGCATAGAGAGAGAATGAGAGAGTGGAGAGCGAGAAACGAAGGCGACAATATAAAACGAATGACTCAACACCCAGCGTATATGATAATTTTGATTATTGTCATTCTTTTTTTGTCCCTTCTTCTTCACTATCCGTGTTATGTGAATCAAAATCGGAAGCGATATTCACAATAAAACTTGTGAAACAGCAAAAACTGCTGATTTTTTTTTTGCTGCTGCTGCTGCTGCTGCTGCTGCTGCTGCTGCTTTTGGTGGTGTCCACATGACAATATATATATATAACTGTGGCGAAATTTTGTGTTCTAAACGCCATTTTGTATGTAATATCACAACTTTGAGACAGTTTTTTTTTTAAATTGTGTGTTGTGTTTCTGTTGTTTTAGTGTGTATCATGTTGTGCTAATCGCAAAGCAGCAAAACGCGAACCACATTAAATGATCGTCATATGAAATTCGCTGACGAATTTAGCTGCGATCACGCGTATATCTTGGCCTCGTCAATGTGTATGGGTTATGATAAATTCCACACACTTTTTTTTTCAAATGGAAGGCTCTATATTCAATCACTCTCTGTCACTCTCTTTTGCTCGCACTCGCTCTTGCTCGCATTCTCTATCACTCTCCCTACGCGGTGAGTGTGCTTTGTTCAGCAAGTAGAAAAAACGGCGACAAAAATAGATAAAATGCACAAACACAACAACGACAACGACAGCAACGACAGCGACAAGCAAGGCAACAACCGATCATAGGCCATTTTCATGCACTTTCTTTGCGTACTACTAAAAAAAACTACTTCTTTTCTTCTTCTTTTTTTTCGTGTTTTTTTCCCCTACAGCACATAGTATTGTTGTGTTTTATACGTATTTATTTCGTTCGATGTGTTTCGTTGTTGTGTCTCTCACTCGTTGCGTTTGTTGTTACATTTTATAACAAATATTTAAAAAAAACCAAATTTTCATTTGGAACTGCATGCAGACCGGAATGAAATTCATATTCAGTTCGTAAACATCAAACTAACGCCTTTGCGTTCATATTCTCAATGCAATCTACCGACAAGAAGAAGGAAAAAAAACACTAACGACGAAGATGAAGAAGAAAATAAAAGAAAAGTGTACAGAAAATTCTGTACACAATAAATATTTATAACATTTGCCTCTTTTTTTTCTCTCTTTCTCTATTATTATATTTATTTAATTCTTATTTTTTCTCTTTCTCTCTCTCTCCTCTTCCACACGCAGATTTACAAACACGAACAACGAGCACTAGTAGTGGCAATAAGTATAGAAACAACAATCACATGATATCATAGCCGAAGCCGTCTCTTACTGACAACACAGCAGCAGCAGCAGCATAGCGCTGAATAACCCAAGAACATTTTTTTTTGAACATTAGAATCCGAACAACACATTCGTTCGCGTACGCGCGCGCGTCCGCTCCGTTTGAAGGATATCATGGCATATACTCGTTGAAAAAAACAGGAGCACCGAAGCTGAGAGTGAGTGAACAAAAAAGGAAACAACAAATTCAATACAACATTTAAAATTGCATCCACAACAAAACAAACAACAAAACGAACGAGAGTGAATAGAGAAAGAGAGAAAACGAATCAAATATTATTAATCCAAAAGAGAAAAAAAAACAATTGTGTTATGGAGAGTTCCTGAATCAAAACAACGAAACGTGCAACTTTTGACTTTATTTAGTCCAAAGTTGAGAAAAGAATATCGCTTACATTTTACATCACTAGATGGACACTTAGTTTGGGCCAAGAAAAAACAAAACAAAACGACCAAAAAAACCAAAAACAGAAAAAATCACAACAAGAAGCAAAGAAATTTAGTTCGGTTTTACCCAGATCGATAGAGAGAGAGAGAAAGAGGAATCAGTTGAAGTTTTAGCAATTATTCTATATGTGGAAACGATTTTGTTATTTTTTTTGAGAAATAAAGACGTTCGACACGAAAGAGAGGGAGAGAGAGAGAACGCAAACGGCACGAGAACCAGCAAATATCATAAAAGAAAAGGAATAGACAGCGTGAACAATCGAGAGCGAGAGCGAGAGAGACAGAGAACGAGAGCGAGCGAGCTGTTATCGTTAATCGGTGTGGTGTAGTAGCGTGTAGCAGCTTGGTTGTACGTGCTGGCGACAAGAGACGAGAGTGTGAATAAACTGAAAATAAAATGAACACCACAGCACAAAACTGTATACGCCGAATGAATCAAAATTAATAGCCGATAAGGCCGGGATACTTATCAATCTGTTCAGTTCAGTTCAGTTCAGTTCTCGTTTTTTTTTTCGTTTTTGTTGTGTTTCATTTGACATTTTTTTTCTCTCTTCATTTTCTGTTTTACGAAAACATACAAAAGAAGAAAAACATTGCAAAGCAATTGGAGAATTTGTACTAATAAACCATAACAAGTAGCGATTGCAAATTGCAAGTTGCATAGAGCACATAAATCGAGCGTGTTAGTGATGTGACATTCGCGAAATATTATCATCAAATTTCGTTCATTGCAGTATTGTTTCTTTTTTTCCGTTCGTTGCGTTTTTGCCACAACAATATATATACTAACACAAATACATACGGAGGAAACAACTGAGGCGAACAACACAACAGACGAAAGACAAATTCGACGTTTTATTCTTTCGTTACTTATCAAGCAAATTAAAGAAAACACAGCAGAGCACAAACAATAATAAATCTCAGTACCAAAATTAGGCGTGATAGATATATATATATATATATATCGATAAAACGATATTATTTCCGGAAATAGATATCAGTTTTATTGAGTGAGACGGCAAAATGCGTGAATTCAAAGTGGTGGTACTCGGTTCGGGGGGTGTTGGCAAATCAGCGTTGACCGTTCAATTCGTTTCCGGCTGTTTCATCGAAAAATATGATCCAACGATCGAGGACTTTTATAGAAAAGAGATTGAGGTACGTTGACTATGCATCTGTTTTTTTTCTTCTTGTTTTTCGTCGGTCGAATGGCAGTCTAGTGAAATAAAATGTATTAGAAATGAATGATTCAGACCAAATTAGAAGTGAATGAGTTGATAGCATTGAAGAAACTCGATTTTTTACGGTAATAAAAGGGAAATTTGGACAAAAATAAAGAGTTTCTTCGATTCGAACAGCATTCACATGTCGCAAAAAGACCAAACACATGATCTCACGTGACATTGTTGAGCCTTTTCATTTGATTCAAAATTCAAGACCTTTTGATTTCATTTTAAGCTGAAGATGACTTTTTAAACACACATGCAGTGTATTTGTAACAAAAAAATGTGTTTGTTTGCCGATTATATAATGATATTTTGTGATATATGCCAATTTACAGGTGGACAATTCGCCATGTGTTCTCGAAATATTGGATACTGCTGGAACAGAGCAATTTGCATCGATGAGGGACTTGTACATAAAAAATGGCCATGGTTTTATCGTTATGTATTCATTAACAAATCACCAAACATTTCAAGTAAGTCAATTAGACACACAGTAATCGACTGACCGAAACGAGCGCGTTGTTTAAAACCGCACACCAAGCCCACCACTATCACCTTCTTAAACACACACTAGAGTAATTATCCGTTTTCTTTCTGTTGTTTTTTCGCCATTCGTTCTCACCACAGGATATATCAAATATGAAAAATGTTATTAGTCGTGTAAAAGGAAGCCAACCGGCCCCTATACTCCTAGTCGCCAATAAGCTCGATTTAGAATGCCAAAGAGAAGTCTCTACATCAGAAGGTAAAGTCTATTTTATTTTTTTCATTTTTCTTTTTTCGGAGTGAAATTCACTTTCATCTATTCATTTCTCGGTGTTTTTCGCTTCGTTTTGAACACTCTTTTGTGAACACACAATTTATATACGTTTTTTTTCCTTTCCAATTTTTCTTTCTCATCTTCGGTGTGCTGTTTGACGCACAAATCTCACAGGACGAGATTTAGCAGGAGCATGGGACTGTCCATTTATAGAGGCGTCTGCCAAAGATCGAATCAATGTGAATGACGTGTTTGCGAGCGTGGTACGAGAAATGAATATGACATCCGAGAAGCGACAACAAAAAAGCTATTGTTGTTGTACGTTATTATAGGAAAAACATAATTACATGTATTGGATAATTTCATAATTTTAAAGAGAAAAAAAAACAAACACACACAGAGATAAACAACAACAACAAAATGATTTTTACATATTAAGCCTATGTTACAGTTGTGGAAAACTATTTTCAACGAATAATTTTTGTTTTGAAACTTAAAGAGAGAAAGAGAGAAAGAAAATGAAACGACCGAAACCCACATAAAGATTTCTTCTTCTTCTTTTTCCCCGGTATATTTGTTTTGCTGCTGTTGGCGATAAATGACCTTTCGTTTGCGAATGAAGGAAGGCAATATTGCGATCGTTTCAAAACAAGCATTTTTTGTCGAAAATTTTTCTGGAATTGATGTATAGACTTTTCTTTTAAAAACATAGATACGTATACAAGAAAATGAAAAAAAAACCCTGTCAAAATATTATTTACGAAAAAAAAGAGCGAAACAGCAACAGCAATTTCTAAACAAGAATAGAAAGGGAAGAAAGCAAAGAAAGAAATGAAGAGCAAACAACGGGAATGCAAGCAAACACATTCACAACCACCAGTTATTTTCATTAGAAGAATGAGTATATATTATTCGCACTATCAACCCGAAAAATATATAGCTTACAGCATAGGAAACAAGAAACCAAGTAACAGCGTAATAAAAACAAAGAACCACACACACACACATACACACAAAACACCCGCACGCCGAATAGATGAGCAACACACCGCAATTGATGTGACGAAGAAGAGAAAAGAAAAAATTGATTATATTTTCCGTTTTCCACAGAGAAAAACAACAACCACAACAAACAAACTGATAAGACATTATTGTTATGATTTTTTTAAGCAATTCTTAATGAATATAGTGCATGGCTACGCGAAAATGCATTTAAAAATCTATTAACTGTAATTTTCTATTTGCGAAAGTGAAAAACAAACAAAAAAACCGTTCAGAACACGAACAGAATTTAGGAAATTTTTTAATAAAAATGATATTTATATATGAGAACAACCATTTCTATTATGGATTTAAAACCCAGACAACAACAACAACAACAGAAATTAAATGTATTAATAGAGTTTGGAACGAAGAAGTGCGGAACAATGGTAATTTACAGAGGATTTTCCCCCCCGGAGAGAATGAGAGTAAATAACCATCGCATATCCGATCGTCATTTTGACTGGAATTGTGGGCAATGCATACTGTGCACGATGTGCTTATTTATCATCGCAAGTCAGTACGGATTCGCACAAATTCATACAAACTGATTCACGAGTCAAACCATAGAAAGTACAGCGTATTCATCACAGATCTACGAGAATCAATGTGAGTCAGTAGAATTTTTTTTTCGAAGAAACAGTGACTTGAATCACATATGAAAGACTCGGACAATTGCCTAGATTTTTCGTATTGACTCATGAAACTCGCATGACACATAAGCCCCTCGACCGTGCATTGGGTGTTTTTGTTTTGTTTTTGCTGATATTGTATCTCACCTTCATCGAGAACGTGTAAAATGGTGTACTTTTCGCAGCAGGGTAGTCTTTGGAGTTTCAGAGTCTCTCTTGACTTACAATTTGATCTTTTTTTCACGAAGCGTATTGATGGCGTATTCTGTTCAATTTTTTTTTAAAATAGAAATTTATTCCACTTAAAACAAAGAGTAGTGTTTTGCTCGCTTTGGAATGAATACGCACTTCTCTTTCCCGGAATGATTGAATAGTTCGTTGTGCAGTGACGTTGCAAGCGAAATGTCAATGCTTTTGATAAAGAAAATAATGACAATGAAATTGAACATTATTTTGAGCGAGAATGAAATTGCACTTCGCCATATCATCATGTCCTTGTACTCGAGCTATTTCTTAGTTGTTGAGATGCTCTTTGACCTGAACAGAAAAAGAACCATTGGAAAAGCACCATTTTGTAAAAAGATTGGATTTGTGAGAGAAAGAGCGAGAGAGAGAGAGAGAAAGAAAAGATTTGATTTGTGGCTGGACAACTAGATCAAGTGGCCTTGCGATAAGGCACAGAAAGACAGAAATAGAAAACACACACCGATTATTTGCTCAATTTGTGTAATGATTCCTTTGATTTTGGTACGCCTCTCCCCCTTCCGTTGTTCTTTTCTCTTTTGGAAGAGTCAGCACAAAGATTCGCAAAAGCCCAGAACGAAATTAATGAAAAAGAAACGAAAAGAAATGTATTATCAAAAGAAGAAAAAAGAAATTTAGAAGACATATTGTACAATTGATTTGTAATGTAACGCATTCGAATACAGGAAATAATTTTGTTTGTTTGTTTGTTTGATAAAGTGAATGATTTACGAAACGAACGATGAAATGATGACACGATGAGGTATAGATATTGATATTGATAAGATACATGTGAATAAATTTTAAATTTTAGTTGTTGTAATTTAGATATGGCCGGCCGATACTCTCACACAGCGCCAGTCGCCGATAATTTAGCTTACCAAGAAAAAGAATTCATGAGATAAACGATTTTTTTCTCTTCTGTTTTTTTTTTTTGTTGGACGAATCAATGTTTTTCCGGTCAATCTACTAACCAAACAATTTATTTTCTTTTTTTTTGTTTAAATTGAAAATCAAAATAGACATATAAAAGAAAATGGGAAATGCTTTGAACCATTATTTTTTCTTTTGCGGTGTGATTGTCTTTTAGCTTGATATATATATTTTTTTCTCTTCATTCAAATTGAAAATATCAGTATATTTTTTTCGAAATAGCAATACAAGTTCTTTTTCATCAGGAGTCTGAAAGCCGAAATTTTGGGCATTAGATAATGTTTTTTTTATATATATATGTGTGAGAAAAAAGAGAATGAGACTCAAGAGATAATTTTCAAAATTTCAATGGATCGAACACATATACACTCAGACAGTCAATTGGAATGGGAGTATTTTTTAAACATAAACATATTCAACGATGTGTAAATTCATTCATCATTATGAAAAATTTATTGATCCCCGCGTATATTAATGTGAACTTATCATTGCTTACAAAATGTTCAATTATATTGAAACAAAAACACAACAAGGAAGAAAAATCACTTGGAAATAACCTGCATTCTAATACATATTAAGTTTGAATACTAGAACGAAAGAAAAGATTTTTTTTTGTTTTGCTGAAAGGCAACATTCATTGTGATTCAAGGGAACAACTTTTTCCTCAAAAAAAAAAAAACTTTTCCAAAAAAACACACACGAAAATTAATACACATAAAACAAAATAAAAAAACCGATACAATTAAAAATCGCTTGAGAAAAAAAAAAGAAAGACCAAAACCAATTCTGTCTGCTTTTTTGAAAGGCTTGTGTTGTTTTTTTTTTTCTTTTTGTATCTAACAACACCGCATTTCCAGATACATTTCATTAATAAAATATTCATTTTGTCTTGGTTGTTAACCAATTCAGATTCAAATGGTGTTTTCAGTAATATCGGTCAACGAACAATAATGTGAAACAAACAATGTCCAAATAAATGTGAAAATACAACCAGATTTAACATCATTTTCATGTACATAGAAATAAAATGAAAAGTTTTTTTTTAAAAAGCATTTCCATTTTGCTACCATTTTTATTCAGAATTTGTACCGAAGATTTTCTTTGGAAATTTGGATTTTTTTTAAACGATTCACAGCAGTTCATTTTTGAGTTCAATCGTGCAGTTATATCGATTTTCAAAAATATCGCAATGGATCATTCAGGATATCACCACAGGATTTACATCGAAAGAAAGTCATATATCATCATGATCGAATAATTGAATACTTCAAATGACTCTTGTGAAAGAAAATATTGACTGGCTGGTTTCTTTTGGGATATTTTGACTTGATTTTTTCACGTATTGTGATTGGAATTCAACCAAGTTGGCCGGCTGGTCAAATGTATTCTTATAGGTGGATTTTTTAGTGAACAACTCTGGATCCGGAATATGAAACATTGTTGCGGCAGAAAATTTATCTGAGTTTGACTGTGTGTTTAACAAAGTGTAAGTGAGATTAACTGAAAGTGTGATAATAGTTCTTCAACTTTATTTTTATATTAACCCTTTGATGCACAATTTTTTGTTTTTGAATCATTTTGACATATGTTTTGTGCCACGATAAATAAAAACCTCATACTTAGATTTTTGAAAAATTGCGTATTTGTCGAGAAAATCGGAAAAGAGTCAAAAGTGTCAAATCACTATAAAAGCTTGAAAAAATTAAATTTCATAAAACTAATTATGCAGAAAGTTAAATTGATGTGTTTTGGTCCTACGAGTCCTAATTCGACAATTGAAAAGAATGAACAAACCCACAAGATAAGAGGAGGAAAAATGTGGAATTCTGCTATAATTTCGCATTTTTTTTACAGCAGTACATGAACAGAAAAAACTTTCCATCCAGCCATTGTAGCCTGTAAAGTATCAAATGAAAGCTAGTTCAATTCCCTACATTTGTTTCCAAACAAGAATGTAAAAATATTCAGTGGTTTCATAGCTATAGCGTCTGGCGTATCTGGTTACTTTAGGAACCGAAATGTGATAAAGGGTTAATATTCATGTCAATAGGTATTCGACAACAAAATGCACGCAGTGTTTTGACAAAATTATGCGTTCCACATCTTTAAAAATGTGAATATTGTAAATTTATCGTCCGTAATTAGAATAAAAGCAACTCCAATCTTAATGTCCTATTGTATGTCAAAAGCTGCAATTGATTAATTTACCAAGTGCTGCTCGATCGATTTGTCACAAACAAGCACCGGTTCGGACATAGAAATAAGTTTACCTAGATGTTCTATACTGTATAATCATAGCCATCGTATAGGTATCACCAGAGCCATCGTTGTTTGCTGTATACTGTATTCATACACACACGTCTCGCAATGCAAGATCGCCCGTTAATACGTCCGTCGCACGGTCGTCCGTATGCGTCTATGCTTTGCATATTTATCTTGCATATTTCTATATCCGAACCGGTGCTTGGTCACAAAAACAAATTCAATTCATTGAATCCAGCCATGAAAATATTCAACTTATCATCAACATGAAACTCTCGAATTCATGATAAAACTTCAACGAATCCTCGTCGATATCAAAAAACTTTTTATAGATTGTGCCAAAATTCCTCAAACACAATGTCTGTGTATCGTATAGAACATGACCGTTTGAATTTTCAGAAGATTTTGAAATTTAAATGGAAAAGTAAAAAGAAAGAATTCAAAAGAAAAGAAAAATCGCTCGTTACAGGTTTAATCGGAAGAAAATCATTTGACCATAGGCTACTTCGATGAGTCTTGCTGATAAGCTTGCCACCGGGAATAAATATCGGTGATTAAAGTTTGGTTATTGGCTAATAAGCCGCCTATCAATGCTTACTCAAATTTCACTTAGTAAATGTACAGAACGGAAAGTTTATGAAAAATTAATGCATCCATCGAAAATTGCCACTTATTGTGGGTGGCAAAAATGGCAGGTGGAAAATGGCAGTTTTTGGCTTTTACGAAAGGAAAATCGAGCGTGCTAAATTCCATTTTTCAAGTGTTTGAAAACATATGTTACGACATCAATTTATTTCAACATAAAATCTTAAGCGATAAATGTAATCTAAATAGGCAGACAACAGCACCGATAACCAATAATATACCCGTTAGTGTTGAAGAGCCACAAAATGGTATAATATACAAACTGGTTGTATTAATTTGGTGTTGTCACCACACATTCAAAATATACGGTGTGCAATGTAAAGGATCTTCCTGAGGGGCATGCAAATTGAAAATTAAGTGTTATTTGATTGTATTGTCAAACCATCTGCAAACGTACCTCATTTTCTACCTTATTCTTCATTTACATTTTTATTTTTCGCTTCTGTTCCGATTTCTCGCTGTAAACAATAGAGCACACAATGACTTGGAAAAAAGGGGTGTCACACATGATAGTTTCACGTATATTCACTATCTCTTTTCCCTGTGTTTTTTTTGTCCTCTAATTTGTTGTTGTTTTTCGTCGACCCTCCTGGTTTTATGCATATTATATCACACGAAGCATGTGTTTCTCTCACTCTCTCTCTCTCTCTCTCTCTCTCTCTCTCGGCCAGTTTTAATTTTATTGTCGTAATAATGTTGATATTGTTAACTGCAACCCCTACTACCACACGGTAAGAGCAACGTACGTTCAAGTGCACAGTGTGTGCTATATCCTCATATAGAGCCACTATGAACACACAAATACAGGTGTTTACTGGCAAATATATATGACTATAATAGTAACGGTAACATTAAAACAACAATATTCGTATGAATAACAATCAAATGCGGCTTGAGTCAAGTTACGTTTGCAAGTGAGAGTGGATAGAACGGACAGAAAATAATACGTAAACGCAAAAGTCCATTTTTTTGGGTCAGTTTGAGCCAAAATTTATTGAACACTTTCCACTGACTCAACAATATCAATAGAAGAAATTATGGCATATTCAAAGATTGTGTACACTGAACGAACGTGGAAAAAAAATGTGAAGAATTCAAGGACATTGAGAAATTGAAATATCAAATGGCAACACCGTTGTGTGGTGAAATAACGGTTGAATCAATCTCACATCGAATTCTTGTGATTTAAATAGTAAATGCAAATTGCGTAAATATGAAGAAAAAAAATTTACATTAATTAAATGTTCTGATGGCAATTAAAGTGTTTTTAACAACAAAGTTTTGTTCTTTCACTTTGAGTTCAAAGAAATTAGAATTTTAGAAGAAATATTTTGCCGTTATTAAAAGGCAAATTGTGAAAAGTGGTTGAAATTGTTTTGCTGAAAATTGTTTAAAGAAAAATTAAACAAGTGATTCACACCAAAAGTGGTCATTTACGGTAGCGTGGCTTGGCCAATTGGTTTGCATCTATGCTTTGTGGTCATTCAATTCACCATCGACCATACTGGCAGAGTCCACCTACGACGTAGGTCCTACGTTGTAATTGTTTTCGGTTTAATTGTGAACGCTACTTTCAGCTCGATACGAATCAAACGTCGACACTCACATTTGGACAACAAACAAAACCACAATCAAAACGTTGACCAAAGCAACCGCTGTGGATGCCGTGTTTTTACCCTACAATTGTATTGACAACGCGTTCCCATTTTACTGGCCACTAATCGAAAACGGTTTCCATTTTTCCCGTTCGTTTCACGATTTTTTTTTCTGTGTTCTGGTGTAAATACGTGTATCGTGAGAGTCTTAATTTTGTTAAGTTTCGAGCCAATCGCGCGCGGTGCGGTCATTAGTGGTAGTGTATGTTCGCTCGTTCGCTCGCTTGCTTGTTCGCTCACGCTCCTTCGTCCGCGGTATGAACGATTGAAACGAAAAGTGACTCACAATTGCTAATGGTCAACTGTACTTGTGCACCGCATAATTTCACCCGTCCTGTTCCTGTGTGCTGCCGAGCTGCGAGTTGTCGTTGTCGTTGTTAGCAATTTTTTTTTTATTTCTTTTACAAATTTATATATATATATATATGTGATATATTCCAAGGAACGGTGGTATCGATCCTTTTTTTTCGGTTCGCTTTCAGTTCGAAATGAAACGAACGGTGTGCTACGGCTACATACACGACACACACTTGCACACATAATCCAAATCACACGTACGCGTTTCAAATAAATACGTCGAACCGAAATTTTTTTTTAGTTGGTTAAAAAACGACTCAGAACAAGTGCTCACTTTAACATTTAAAAAATAAGGAGAAGAAGAAGAAAAAAAAACGGAAAAGAAAGGCGTCAAGCGTCCTTTTCTTCACGGCGAAAAATTACAAGGAAAATCTGAAACGAAATTATTGTGAATCATTGCTCAATTTATTGTGATGCGCATTTAAATTTTGTCGAAAACCTCAATTCGTTTGATATAAAATGCTAGATGAATACTTTAGTTTGTTGTAAATTATCATTAAATTCTGCGTGAAATAAGTGAATCGGCCGTAGTGTATATAGTGAAGTGGTGTGCTACTAAATGAAAAATTTCCAATTCCACCAAAGATAAATCGTCATATATTTTTTTGGTGAATTAAATTGTGTCCTTGACGAAATATCGCCGTGATCATTGTGAGGGAATAGAAAAAAAAGTGAAAAAAAACGAAATAAATTGAGTTGAAATCGAAATTGAATCGTAGAAACGATGATTCCATCGGTTCAATTTCAATCGTTTAATGATACATTGACCACCACCATACATAAGGATTATTTGGATAAATTTGATATGCCCATTGTGTCAAGCCTTAATTCGGACGACGATATTCAATTGTCTGACCAAAGCACCATCACCACCATCAACAACACCATCACCACAACCACCACCACCGCCGCCAGCACACAGTTCAATAGTGATCAAATATTAATGCATCAAATTGAGTTTAGTGATTCAGAAATTGCAATATCACAAGATTGTCATTCAATTGAACTTGAAACGAGCGACGAAATGATCGCTACATGTGATGACATCGCTCAAAATCAGTACATCAATTACACAATCATTGGCAATGGTTTGATTTTAATTGAAGGTCCACAAATGGATTTTGACGATGAAACCAAAAATAGTAGCAATAATTTAAGAGCATTAAAAGGTACGTCGACCATTTTTCGTTCATTCTTTATCGCCACTCTGTGCTTTGGCTGCAATTTGTTATGCATATTTGCTATCGTAACTGTCCCATTTCTATATTCAATAGGTATCGATTTATTGGTAACGGTAAAAAATGACAACGAAGACGATGACGACCACCACCACCATCATCATCACCACACGACGAAAATCGAAGCGTTGGAGGAAGAAGAAGAAGAAGTAGAGGAGGAGGAAGAGATAGAAAATGAAACCTGCGAGGAATTTCATTCTGAATTAGACGAAATGAATGTGGTGAAACAGGAAGAAATCATTGACAAGTGCGAAGTGAAACAGGAAATAATTGAACAGTGCGTTTCCACGTCGCAAACACGCACATTAACCACCACAGTGGATCAACATCATCGACCCGGTATGACCACCCAAGTGGATAACAACAATGATGACGACGATGATGACGACAGTTCATCGGAACATGAACTCACCAACTTGGGCTGGTTGATTGATCTCAAAAATCTCGCCCAATGGCCAGTCGATTCAAACTCCGTCAATCGCAAAAATTCCAACGCCAATTCACATTCAACACTTGTCAATGGCATTACCAGTTGTATTATGAACGATATTGATGACGAACAACATGCCGCCGCTCCAGTAATCAGCGAAAAAGACTTGTCCGAAGAACGATTCAAAAAATTCACAATCCAAGTTAAACAGTGAGTTGAACGCATGTGTGAATAATACATAAGTTTTGAATTTTTCGCTTTGTGATTAATATTCCAATCGATTTGGAAAACGGGAAAAAAATGATAACAAATACAAATTTTGTGCCAATTGCAGAAGCCAAAAAAATTATGCCGAACGTGAGAGAATCTATAAAATGGATCCATTGGAAAAGCCACCATTTAATTATGCTCAAATCATCGCCATGGCTATGATGGACCGAGGACGCATGACACTTAAGGATATTTGCAAATGGATCCAAGAGCATTTCGCATACTTTCGATACAATAAAAATTGGAATGTAAGCAAAGACTGTTTCTGTTCAAATTTTCCATTTTTTTTTTTCAATAACAGTCATTAGTGAATAGTTGATTTAATGATTGGATTTTTGAGTCATCGCACCATATGTCATTCCAATGGAATTAATCAAAAGATGTATGGCCAATGAAAATGACGTATGAATGATTTTGAATATTAAATTGCTCTTTTCAGAATTCAATACGTCACAATTTGTCATTGCATTTTTGTTTCACCAAAATTGCGCGTGATAAAACCGAAAAGGGGAAAGGAGGTTACTGGGAACTATCCATGAATGCCACAAAAAGCGAAAAGAAACGTGTACGCAATCGACGAAAGCACCGTGATGACGGCAGCCGTGTGTCTCAACCGCATCGAAATCGACTTCCACCACGACGAAACATACAGAGATCATCATCAGCCACGAGTACCAAACCATCGAACAATTCCACTAAATTGAAGTGTACACCAGCGTTAAGCATCACCACAAATGACAGTTGTAACGGTTTGTATTTTCAATATTTTTTCATTGGATATTTCCAACCCTTTGCCGACCCTTTCGTAATATCGAGCATGAATCCTTGTTTTCATAAATGGAAACTCATTTTTGAAAAAAAAATCCCAACAAGGGCATTGCACCATTGAAGTTAATTGTCATTTAAAATGCTTATAATTATCGATAATTATTATGAATAGAATTGGTTGTAAATTGAACAACATTCGTTTTCTGTCTGTCATCAAAAAAAAAAATAGTGAGTTCAGCTAGCGATGGTTCATCGTCCATGTGTTCGGGCAACGGGATGACAGACGATACGAAGAACATGTGGTCGGAAATACACGGCATAACGAATACGCATTTCATGCAATCGCTGCACAATTCCGTTCATCATGAGCAACTCGAACATGAGCTCATCAGCGATGTGATCACAAATGATTTGGTCATCATAAACGGTTCCGATTTGGATCAATCCAGCAACGATATGATTCGTTGCAATTTCGATAAAACCAGTAGCCAAACAACTGACCGCTATTTCGTTGATCATGATTCACATAAACAACATCTTCCCGGTGCCAATGGAAATGTGCTTGTCGAATCAAGTATAACGGCCGCTATTTTGAATGATTCATCCAATGAGGTGAGTTTTGTTATGCATAATTATTGAATTGATTCAGGCATTCTGTACATTAGAATCGGTCTCAAGTCGAATCAATTCGTTTCTTTTTTTTCGTTGATTCAATGGAGGTAATTTTTCTGTTATTCGTTCTGATGGAATTGCATTTTTTTGCTATTTTTTTTTAAATGTAAAGCATTTTTCTTCACTTTTGTCAAGAAAATAGCATTTTTGAGATTTCCATCATAGAATAACACTTTGAACAATTTGAAATTATTAGATAAATTTAAAATTCAAACCATTTGAATTATGTTCGAACAAACGTCTTAAGAAAATCTCCAGTTAATAAACGCCAAATTTCCAAATTTTTCCATTCAGACATTCATCAAAGGTGGTCTCGATCAGCAAACCAATTTACTGAGCGGTGTGACAATTACAACAGCTGCATCTACATCGAATGTAATCGTCGAACCGATGCCATACTCGTTGTCGCATATGGATACAGTCATTGACATCGACCATGAATTTGGCAATTTGGTCAATATGGCCGATCCGGAGTTAACCGTGGACGGTTTCTTCGACTATGGTAGTTGGTAGGCAAATTGTACACCTGTTTCACCTGCTGTGTGATGATCAAACTAGGTAAAAATCCAAAATCCAAAATGCCTTTAAACGATTCCATCCACAAAAGATCTCTCCCTTGCCATTGACCTCCCATCCCCCTCAGAATAATTATCATTATAATCCAAAAAGAATAAAAAAGAGAACAGAGTTAAGATTTGAAGATGCGTACAACGGAGCACGCACAGTATACAAAACAAAATGTGCCTAACCTTATGGAAAAATGAAAAAAAAAACAATTATTATTACTTACTGTTACAAAAATCATCATAGAAAACAATTGCTCAACTTCTAGAACATATAGAGTGAGTTAGCTAGTTTATATATATATATATATATATACCATAGGCACTTTTATATTAGACGTTCGAATTTAGAACAAAGAAAAAGAAGAACGGTAGAAATTATTCATATTCAGTTTATAGAGTAGGCTTACGATGAAGTCGACGAATGGAAATGACTTAATGACAAGAGATGCGCTCGTTCACCTATATGAGAGTCGTTTTCATCTCTCGTATGTCTCGAACGTCACTTTTATATCGTTTGTTTTATTTTTTTTATTGAGCCATTTATCCATTGGCGATTTTGTCCAGGCCTTGTAATAAAATAAAAAGTGGTTTTTCGATTTGAAGAGCAAATCGAACCATTTTATTATCACCTAAATTCTTACAGAACATAACGGGTATGATCTAAGCGCTTTTCAAATAGACGGTATTTTAATTTATTGGATTTTCAATTTATTTCAAAACCTTTTTCTTTCCCATCAAGTGAGTAGGATTTTTATGTTCCAAGAGCAAAAACACAACATATTTACATACTGATTAGACAAGCATTAGGACAGTAATTAGCAATAAAAAAAAAATAAAATTTAGCTGTAAAATTGGATTTTTGCTCAACATTCACAAATCAAGTGAAAATTTTGGCCAACAGCTACCAGAAAGATAAAAAAATAAGTAATGGCAGACCAATCGACAATTTTCACAAAAGAAAACATTCGAAACCATTGTGCCGTTTACTCATGATATATATACTTGTGCCATAATAATGTATGCGATTCGATTATATGCTCGGGGCGATTAAAATTTTTGTAAAATGACCGAAAAAAATTTCAATGCAGAATGAAAATTTTGTGCCTTACAACAAGAACCAACGGCAACAATTCAACAATTTCAACGAATACAAGTCATAGGTTAAAGGTAGACATACATTGCAGACAATACCGAAAAAATGTGATTAGTGAGAAGCGTCATGCAAATGAATGAAGAAGAAATAAAAGAAGAAAAACACGCGCGCCGAGCATGTAAATGAAGTCAGAATTATTCATTATAAGTTCCAATTTGTGAAACTGAGTTAAAATAGACTTTACTCCATAATTTCACAAGCATTGACAGACATTGTGCAGATGCCATCATAATGAAAACAAAATATTGTATGGCTTGTTTTCGTTTCATTTTTTTTTCTTATCGAAATGAGTATGACAAGCAATTTCGGCAATACAGAGAGAGAGAGAGAGAGAAAATTTCGGCAATCAAAAAAGCCTAAAGTAACATGCATGCAATAAATTAAAAGAAAACACACATTTACATCGAGACTTCATTGCCACTTGCAAGACACATTGCTGAAATTGTCAATTAAATCAATTGTACGTCATGGTTTTTCTTTTCTCGGTCGGTCCTTTAAAACTGAAAACGCAATTTAAACCAATGGAAGAAACAAGAACGAATGTTTTTTTTAAGTTTAAGAGCATTAGGAATAAAGCAGAGACAGTGATTTTGTGTTTATTTTACATCGTTTCATTTTTTTTTCTTCGTTTGTTGTGGAAGTGAAAAGCCGATTTTTTTTTAGTCAATAGAATTAAGTGCACACATTTGTAATTTATTTGCTCAATGTCCGTTGGAAAAAAAAACATATGTATGGAATTTGTAATTGGAATACCTATAGTATAAAGCATAAAACGGTAGACATCTTTTTTTTATTTTCCCTTTGTGAGGTGGAATATTCTATGCAAATGAGTCCAAATGAATGTCGGTTTTGCAACCTTCTACTCGATATTGTTTTTGTGGATCGTTTTTGCAACCCAAATATCATTTAGCTGATCATCGATGGGATTTGATTCGAGAAAAAAAAACTATGGCAAAAATAAATACGTGTTTGAGACGAGAAAAAAAAACTTTGAACATCCTGTGTGTGTGCCGCGCTGAATTCTTATGCAATTATTAACGACATCCAAAACGAACGAATTCCAGGAAGAAAGGAACAATCTGAGAATGGCAACAATCGTTTTGTTTCGACCCGAATAGATACAACGTACACAAATCAAGCTAATGTTTGCTGCGGCACGAAATAGAACTGCTTATTTTCTTGAGCTGCTTGTTTTCGAGGTTTTAGTGATCATAAATCGACCTTTTTTGGGATTATTGACTAATTATATCAGAGCAATAGAGATCTAACCGCAAGGGAAAAATTGAATGTGAAACGAACCAGAAGATGAATAGAGAGGAGAAAAAAAACACATGAATTATAATGGACTGGAGGATCGTGTTATTGACGAAGTCTAGTCAAACAATTTAACGATTTCTTTTTTTTTCTGCTTCACCGTTGCACTAGACTTGTTTCGGATTTTCTTCGTCGTCGTCGACGTCTGTTTTTTTCTTTCTTGAATGGGATTTGTTCCAGTTGATTGTTTTTAGAAGAAGCCAACGCTGTTGAGTGAGAGACGATAATGGTTAATTTAAAGGAGTAAATGCGTGCTATGTATTGCTGTAACAACAAATGAAACTAATTTTCTTGCACGTAAGATGATGTTTCGAAGGAAAATTTTTTATTGTTGACGGTTGTTGTTCAATGAGTGCGTCATCACTTCGACTCGTTTCTTTCGGTCTCTTCTTCTAAATGTAAATTTCGTGGAAGCATTAGAGCCCTTTCTTACTAATTTAGAGATGTTGTTGTTGTTACAAATTTTCGATCACTTTTGATCGCATTTGAAAATGAAGCGCACTAGTTTCACGGCTGCAATGAATGGATAATTTACGATCGAAAACGAATAGAGAGAGTGAAATGGAGAACGAAAGGGAGAGAAAAGAATGAGAGAGAGGAAGAGATTGAGAGAGAGAGAGAGAGAGAGATCAAGAGGGAGAGAGAGAAGAGAGAGAAAAAAGGGAACAAAAACACACCTACATGCAATGGGTCAATGTTGCTGGATTAAATATCGGGCATTGTGCACGGTGTACGAGATACATTTTTGTTTCTAATGTTCACCTTTTGGTTTCTCTTCGATGTTTTTCGAAAGCATTAAATAAGAGAGTGAATGAAGAGAGAGAGAGAGAGAGGGAGTGTGTGTGTGCTGGGACCTCACAAAACTACCAATAAATTGTGTTCGTCAACAATGACCATGTAACTGGTCACATTTTTATGAATTTGAAATGATGGGAGAAAAGATAGCAAGAATTGTTGTGATCGAGAGCGGGTCCCGCCGATCGAAGTCAGTCGTTTGCATTATTCGAGTGAACCGCTGTTTCTTTTTCTTCTTCTCTTGTTTCGTGGGTGAAATGAAAAGTACGAAATTTTTGGTGAAATTTTGTTGTTCCGGCTTGGGAATACACCTGCGTGTGAGAGAATAAAAAAAAACTGTTGCTGCCATTGTTATGAATTGTAACTTACGATATATGTTACCGACCATTGCCTAACCGTGTTATAAGTTCAGCTCACTTTATTGTTTTGCCAGCACACAATACCAGCTATACATGGCCTGGAATATAATTAGGAGTCTTTGGTTGCATTCACTACTCATTGGGTTGCTCTATTCATTGTTTTGTTGATTTTTTTTCTTCTCTTTGCTGATTCAGCCGAACATGTCTTAAAATACAAAAACTTTTTGTTTCCATTCATTGATGTGAGAAAATGACGCGCAACTACACGGCATCACGAAATGTGTCTCACTTTCAGAGAGATCTGTTTTTGTGTTTGGTATGAACGGAATGAAACGGTTGTTTTTTGCAAACAAGGCGACGTATTTCAGGTGAATGAAGAAGCCAGAAGAACTTTCATTCCCACTTTGAGAAAATGCTTTCAACCACTTACGATCTAATGAATCAATTTAAACATTAAAATTCCATGTAACGACTAAAATACAGCAGAAACTTATTTTCAATTAAATTCTGCAGCTCAGAATATTTGTTGGCGCAGACAAATGGATTTTTTGTGCAGACAAAAATGAATTCTTCGAAGCATTCTCGTACACAATTCATCAAAAATCAAAATATTCTCTCGACTACTGCAAACAAAAACCATGCAAATTGCAAACAATTCTCGAATTCGAAGAGAGAGAGAAACTGCGAAAAATTCATGAAATTCTTGAAAGAGCCCCGACAATTATGATCTTTTCGAGTGTTTAGTACGTAGACAATCAATCATTTTCCAAGCGTCAATTCCAGAGAAGAAGAAATAAGAAATGATAATGGCAATTGGGTTCCGTGTTGTTCAAGCTTGGTCTGCACAAGTGCCGTGCACAATTTATGAATGAAATTCGTTGAATACACAGCAGTACGTGTGTTTGTGTGATCGTGCGGCAAGTGCGAGATGGGGCAGAGAGACGAAGAAAAATAAAGCACACACACATCGAGAGAGATCCAGAGACAGAGAGTGAGATGGAGAAGAAATGCTCTGTACCCGAACTGAATCGTCCATAGTAATACACAGAGTTGAAAATTGGAAGTAAATTTTTTGAGCATTCTTTGGATGGTTCATTCAAAAAAAAAGCAGAAAGAAAGCAAAGCGACCACTCACACTTACTCTCACACACACACACAACGACTGGCACAGACACAACAAGTGATGAGATCTGGTGCATGTGAGCGAATGGCATGAAAAAGCAAATGCTGAAAGAGAGAGAAAAAGAGACATAGCAAGAAAGATAGATATACACTTACACACTAGAGTTTAACTAATTTATGTGCGGAATCGAATATATCGAATAACCAATACTTCTGAATGGTTCCATTCTTTATAGTTTTCTTTCCGTTTCTCTTACCTTTTTGTTGATTATATTCCTCAATGTTGATTACCGTGTGCTGTGCATGCATGTATGTATGTGCGTGTTGTTGTTTTGTTTTTTTTCTTCATCTTACCTTGGCTTGACTCTCCTTCTTTTCTCTATCTTCGGACTTGTTGTTGATTTGTTGTGTGTGTACTTTTTTCGTTCATTCGTTCATTCGTTCATTCGTTCATTCGTTCAAGTTAGTGAACGTTAAAACTCAGAATACGGCTTACATTCATCTCGATCTAAAGCATATCGAGAGAAGAGCGGAGAGAAGTGCTCAGATTTACTCTTCAGTGAATCAGTGGCGTGTATCAGTTATGTATTGAGTTGCAGACAGAATGCGGCGGCATCAAATCACTTCAATTTCCTGAATCAAGTTGTTAACATTTAAGAGCAACAATCGGCAACAAGTGTGAAAATTTTTGTTCAGAGGGGAAAAAAAGATACAAAAAGATCAAACACTTTATTGTTACTTGTTGTTACTCAATATAACAACGTGATCGATCAATCGACATTTTGGCGATAGAATTCAGAACACAAGCCCTATTGTCAGTGACATCATCTCAGTGTTTTTTTTCCTGATAAAAAAAAGTTACGGAATTATTGTGTGTGATTAGGATACCGAGAAGTGTGTGGAATCAGTGAAACAGTGGAATAAAAATAGAGATACAAAACCGAGCCAAATCTTTGCATTGTGCATGTTCTAAGACACTTGTTATGATTACAATCAACCTGTTGATAAATTAGAATTCTGCTCAACAATTAGACATTTAATTTGGAATTTCGATTGAATGATCTAAAAAATGTGAAAAAAAAGTCCAAAACTCTTCGAAAAATATTCCAAAAATTTCAATGAACCAATAAGAGAAGAAGAAGGAAAAAAATCGTCAACGAAAAAAATATCTTCAAATCAAATAGTACAAAAAAGAACATCCTCGCACCGCTAAACTCTTTGCTTAAGCCATTTATTTGTCTTGATTTGTTTGTTTTACACGGCCTGGCTGGCGTTTCAACGAGAGGAAAAAAAATGAGCTAGAAGTGTGTTCGCTGCTTCCCGATATAAAAAGCAAATAGAAATTACCGAAGAAGAAGTAACAAGTGAAGAAAAAAAAAACACACACAAACTGTTTTCTCAAGCGCAATTGCCCCGTTGTTGTTCCAGAATCGATTTGTGAAGCGTAAATTCAGAACACTCGTCGTGAAGAGTACACAGTACAGAGCCCGAGAGACAGAGCAAAGCGAAGCGGCGCGGCCACACACAAAAAAAAAGCATACAAAGTGGAAACACACTGTAAATGGTCGAGTGTGGTGGCTTAATGTTGTTCAACATGAAGCTTCTGGTTAAATTTGCTGTTGTTGCTCTTCTAGCGTCACCGCTAGGCGTAACAGCGGTCTGTTACTTTGCAACCGAGATGCAAGGCGAGTACATCACTCAAACAACGGTTACACATATGAATCAAGTATCGTACACACATGTTAACATCACCGAAGACTCAATACCAATTTGGGGCCTGTGTCATCGTCGCATCGCCAACAATATCGTTCTGCGAATGGACTCGGATGAAACTAGCTGTTATAAATGCATTCACGTTAATTTAGTATCACGAAATGTGCTACGCATCCATACAGAGACTGAACAAGATTACGGTTCCAAATGCTATACAAATGAAGAAAAAGCGATTGCATCATGCCCCACCGATAGCATGGTCGATGATCAACCGACACAAAAAGAAATCATACTGTACAAAACACTTGAATACAATGGCGAAGAGATTAAACGTCAATATTGCCCGTTTAACGGACGATATCATTTTATGCTGACCATTGACGATGGCGGACCCGAAACCACGGGATGCGATTCGAAAAACTCCGAATTGGATAATTGCCCATCGGGTTCGGCGCTCAATTTACGATTTCGACAATGCACTTTTAATGACTATGGAGCTACGCTTGAATGCTTGGGCCAATGGAAAGGACATGAGAATCAAAACTTTGTTGCATTCATGAATACCGGCCATCAGAGCTTTGGACCGAAATATCGTTGTGCGGTTAGTTGATTCTTACTTTTTATTTCTTTTCTTTTTTTGCTGTCTTTTTTTTCTTTGCTCTTTTGGTTTCCGTTTTGTTTACATTTTCGTTCGTAAAATTTGATCCAAAAGATGCTTGTTGAATGATTTCAATGTGAAGAATCAGAATGGACTATCTTAACGATGAAAGTAAACGATAAACATGATGAATGATTTTAACCACAACATTGATTCACAACTCTTTTCATTTGACTGGTTAACAACAAAATTTGTAATTTCGAAGAAAGTTCAAAATTTTAAAAGACTCGAATTTGAATTGACAAAAATTTGAAAATGTTTGCGAAAACTTCAAAATTTCCGAATCGATCTATTCTTTGATAAAACCAAAAAGTCCGATTTTTCAAATCAACAATTTATTTTCAATTCACTTTCATCAAATCTAGACTTTCGTAAAAGATCCCGACACCAATATAATCACTGTGTCGCTAAATGCCGATTCGTTGTGTTCACCGCGCGATATGTACGATCGCAAAGAGATCTTGGAATTGTATCCGATAAAAAATCATTCATTCGACCATCAGTTGCATCAATACCAGCGTCTACCCATTTGGATGCATGGCGAATTTGAATTTTTGACCATTGATGACCATCAAATCGTATACCGTGATCAATCGTCATTTAAAACGTACACCATGAAAGCGGTTGCATATTACAACACCGCTTCCATTGATGACTCAAAAAGTGTTCGTTTGTTGACATTTAGTCAAACCCAATGTGGTAAGTGCATATACATATTTGTAGCATATATTACTTAAAACCATAAACAGAACGGAGAAAAAAAAAGTGGTTTTGCGTTGTATCTTATCTTTCGCTTTGAAGCTAATATTTGGAATGTGATTTTTGTAGGCGAAGAACAATACCATTGTGTGTCGATCCATAAACGGAGTGCAAATGTGTTGGAATTCCAAATTGGTTCAAAGACCGTACACCAAAGCTCATTAAATGATAACGGCGGAACTATTGATAGCTACCTTGGCGGCATCGAAAGCATATGCAGCGATCAATTTTTCGATAAATCACATTTCATTACACAGGCCCGATTGGATAGTACTCGCGAGCTATCGCCATGTCCAATTGATGGTGAATTTGTCGGTTTAATTCCAGATGCGGAAGATTTATGTGCGCGCCTCTGGTCGGATTGCGAGAAAAATGACACAATGAACTATCAAGTTTCAATATGTGGACATGATGAGATTTTTGATGGTTTGTTATCTTCTCTTTTTATGTCTTTTCACCAAACATCATTCTCTTTGTTTCTATTGTTTTTATGTTTGTTTTTCCAAAAGTTTTACAAAATCATTTAATACCGATTCACACACAAAAAACCAAAACAAAACAAAAATTTTGGTTGCTTATCTTTCTTTTACTATCTCATTCTCGTGTTATAATCGCATTTGAAATTCCATAATTTTTTTTTTATCTCCATTTTTTCGGTCGATTTAGAACGTAGATACCAGTGTATTGGGCAATGGACGGAGAATAACATTATTTACACGTATGCAAAACGATTGGATGTTCCGACGTACGAATGTTTTCTTGGCGCATTGGCGTCAAGTGATGAGATTTTCATCAAAGAGGCTGGCGAACATTGCCGACGTGACATCGACCCATACCGCTATTCCATGCAATTGAATAAAACGAATGCATGTCCGAAAATGGAAACAAAACATGACATTCCACCGTCACGTGAATTTGATGACAAAGACAAACAATCAACGGCTGTTGCACCCGATGAAACGGCACCATCAAATGGTGAAGTCGAGTACGAATACTTTGATAATGATAACCATCTTAATATGAATGGTAATGTGGTGTCATCGTCGACCGATTCGAAAGTGCAAGTACATGTAAAAGAAGGTGTCGTCGATATAAATCGAATTACAGTCGATGATACGCTCGCATTCCAATCGATTCATCCGAAACTTGATCTTGGTACGACCACAAAAACCGATAATAAAACTTTAACACACAATCGAAGCTATTCACAACGGAGCGATCTTATTTTAATTTCCGTTCTACTATCTCTGTCTGTACGGCTGCCGCCAAACCTTTTTATTCATTAATTCATAAGATTTTTCAATTTTTTACGATGTGTTGTGATAAGAAAACGAAAAAAAAACGAAACATAAATCTTTCTAAAAATTAAATGTAATATAGAAATTGATCGAATATGTTCCATTCAATTTGATTGCAAGACTGTTCAACGGATAGGAACGTGCTTAGAATAGGAAATGATAGAGAGAGAGAAGAGAGAGAGAGAGAGAGAGAGAGAGAGAGTGAGAGAGAGAGTGAGAGAAACGCGAGAGACGTGGAAATATGATATGCCTAATAAATTCAGAGATTGTTGCACTGTTGGCTGATGAAGAAGAATAAACTTTGTTTTCATTATTTTTTTTCTGTCATATTTCAATATTGTGTGGGTTTTTATTTGTTGTTTTAGCATTTCTATTTACATTTTGGGGTTCAAGGGTACATGTTTGTGTGTGTGTGTGTGTGCTTTACAAATGCTTGACTTTTGTGTCTTGTATTGCGTTGCTGTATGTTACCTGTTCTGTTAATCCCATATTACGCATGTTGTTCATTGAACAAGGCTACCAGAGGCTGGCTGGTCAAGAGTTCTCCAAAAAAACGACAAATATAAAGTGAGAGATTGAAATATAAAAAATGTCAACGGACAAAGATAAATTTAATATTGACTGTGTAAATAAATGGAGCCGAGAATTTTCTTTCATTTCTTTGATGTTTATATTTCATTTGTAACTCAATTGATTTGTTCGATATAATATGATCGGTGACTGCATCTAGTTTCATTTATGATGATGTCTCATCATCTGGAGAAATTATGATCGTTCTCCATTCTCCTTTTCTTTACAAGCGCTTCGATGGGCTCACTTGATCCATTGGGCATTGATGTTTGCTAACTCTTATTTTGTCAAAGAAAAAAATTCTGAATGTTCAAGTTATGTGGAGAATGAAGAATATGAAGTTGATTGTGTAAAATCGAGAATGTCGGTGTTTTATTCAGTGTCTTCAAAAAGATGCGAAAACCAAATTGTCAAAAATTCGCAGGTCCCCTGGAGAACGACCACCTCCTGTGAAGATGTGGATGGATAAACTTTGATAAAACAATTTTCCTTCTCTACATACTTAGAGTGGCCGTAACACGCGTATGACCAATTTGGCAGATTCAACAGCATTGATTATGTGCTTGCGACAATCGCCAAAACGAGATCACTTATCTAAGTCAGACCTTCGTTCAATTAAGACAAACCAATTAAGTGGGTTATCCAGCGTATCATTCTTCTTGTTTGCAAAATTAAGCAAAATCGAGGTAGTTAGTGAGTTTATTCAAAATTTGTGTTGTTATTACAAATAAGTATGAGTTTAAATTGAAGATGTTTATGCAAATAAACATTTCACAATACACGCTTAAAAGTAATGAGATCCTTAACAGAAAATGAATGGTTTGCCCTGAGTATTTTCCGAGCAACCAACAACGAATATTTTGTGCTAATAGAAACGAAAAAAAAATCCGATACTTCAAAATCATCAGCCACAAAAATGTTATCCAATATGTAATTATCCAAACGAATTGATAGATTAACAAAATCCAAAGGATATTTGTATCGCCGATCATTGCTGCACCCAGGATGTTTTTTACCAGAAAATGTTTTTTTCCTTCGTCATCAGGGTAAGTTAGGATTATTGATATAATTAATTCAATCACAAATTTGAGAGAAGTTGTAGGGGATATTTTGAAAAAAAGCAAATCAAATTGTGTGATTATGAATGATATCATTGGTCTTCTTCTTGTTGGACAGTACCCTTGATCTTCATTTTCTGATGGTTTGTGTATCGTAACTATAGCAGTTTAATTGGTTAATATTTTTTTTAATTGATTTTTTGGAATTACTCACATGAACAACTCAAAAAGAATTGCATCATAAAGATGTGGAACGTTAGCATTGGCGTAAATAACAGAATTGGTGACCAAATCATCAGTATCGAATGAAAATATCATTTTTACGGATACTGTTTAGAAATATGCAACCAAATGACGATGATAAATATTTGCCATTTGCATCTGTTCTTCTACACATGCTCATTGCCAATTGAATGGTTTGGAGCGAAAATGTAATCCAGAAAAGTTGAGCGCAAAATGTCAAATGAAAAAGGATAGCTTTATAGTTTACTATACAGTTTACTATATAGCTATCCCTTTTCCGCTCATTCATCATCGACATTTTTCCACTCAACTTTTCTGTATTACATTTTCGCTCCAAACCATTCAATTGTCAGATGTATCCCAATTTTCATATTTTTTCCCCTATATTTTTCGAAATTATTCAAGGACGAGCGTAAACCATGGCATTTATATCAGAGATCTATGCTGTACGTGAATAGGGGAAACAATTGTATGTTTACCTGCTTTTTTGTACCACAAGTCAATGACACATTAGAATATATTCGTATATACGAAAGAGCATGTATTACGAATGTTTACATCCTTTTTTCGTTTGCCCAAATACCATTCATGCGATGTTTTATCATATAGAGATTACGTCGATTACGATTTTACAAATCAGAAATCAGACACGCATATACGAGGTAGTCATTGTTTTATTGAATAAATTGTCGTTACAAAATGATGATAAATTCAAAATACAGATTTTTATTGCCATGAACTGAACACACTTGGACATATTGAACATAGATTCCTACAATTAAATCAGTTATACCACACGTTGTTGAAACTGAGTCGTTTTCCCTGAGTAATTCTTTTCATTTGCCGTAGTTTATGTTACGGTGATTTGACTCTTGTACAAACCATATCGTCGCACTAGAAAAAAACGAATATTATCAAAAGCCTCAATATCAAAATATGAAATGTGAAAAACCTGCTGAAAATGAAGTAACAAAGAAAGTCTTAATTATATTGATATCATCATCAAATTCTCTTTCAGTATTTGTCAACGTTCTGTTGCTTTTGTATTCCTGACCAAGCTCAGATGCAGGTGTTGGATTTACCCAAATGTCAATATAAGCACATTTAATTACGGACGACATCGGATGACAAGACAATATAAGTAAAAGAATAATAACAATTTTTCTATACTCTTGCTTATGCCATCGCGGATCGGTCGTTCTGTGTAGCAAAACTATACAAGAATAAATTCGATTCGTTAGTAACGGTAAAAAGAAATTATGTTCAATATTTCTAGACTACTCACATGCGAAACTTGTACACATTTGCACTATGATGAATTCACTAGAAATTTTTGGACTGATGGACACAACAACGGTTGACGAAATCATAAGTGTCACGAAAATGGCAATCATTAAATTTTCACCAGCTAACATTTGATGCCAATTCTTGTGCAATGCCTGCATTGGTATGAAGAGTGTTTATCGATTAAAAAATAAGACAATTTGGCTTGAACAATGCAGAATATATCGAAACTTTGTATAAAAATAAGTGAAATTTAATTTTTTTTTACCTCCTGATTTACCCCACGAAACAGTAGATAAACTAAAATCAAATGATTGACACTGGTCACTGTGTTAACGGTAGAAACTAAACACCATATTGTGGCCATAGAAAATGCGGGGAAATCCATTTCAGGCGATCTCAATTCAGGCGGTACTAATTTGGAGGATAGATCCGACAAACATATTTTCAATAGCGACAGATAAAAACACGATTCACAGAGCAAAAATTGAATTAAATGGTAGCTTGTATAATGCCATTGTTTTTGCCATCCACCCCAATCAAAATGATTTACAGATGCTGTGAAAGATACAATGATGACATTAACTCGTTTCCAAGTTTCAACAATGCTGTGGGGAATAGTTCTTTTTTATGAAATACCTGTGATGATATTGAACGCAATGTAACTATAGGTGAACTCTGAGCCTCGATCCACTTCATACATTTGCTATAAAAGTTTTTAAGGAAGAGAGAATTAATCAGAAAGGATTGAAATGCAAAACTCAAGATTATATTGCCTTACCCATAACTCATAATAACAATATACACCGAGTACCGGACATGTTATGAATATTATCCAAGCCAGCAAGTATTCTTTGAAGAATTTTTTTAAACTTTCATACGGTTGGCACATAGTTTAATAGAACTTTCAATTTCTGCATACAAATTGGAGGGAGATGTAAACAAAAATCTTTTGCCAAACCAAAATCAAAATTGTCAAATATTTGCCACCTGCTTCGATGTCGTTTTGCGCATGGTCATCAACGACTGTAAGATGTTTCCCAAACTAAACTCCTGAAGTTTGATTATTCAAGGGCGAGTATAGCCAACATTGTAACATAAGTCTATAAGACATATGAATACGAAGAGACATATTCTTTGTATATTTACATCCATTTTTTGGATTTTCCAAATATCATTCATATGATGTTTCATTTCAGGATGTTTCGTCCTATGTCCATACATTCTTTAAATCGGAAATGTAAAAGCTTTTTCACACGATATTGAGGTAGTCAATCATTTATTGAGAAGAAAAAATTATTACAAAATCATTTTGATAATAATCATATTTCAGTTTTCCCTCGAATTGCTGAAAGCGGGTCATTTTCGTTTTCCCTGAGAACTTCTTTGTATTTACTAGCGAGTTATGTAACGGCAATTTGTAGTGGTGCTGCTTTAGTTATATCTTCAGATAAATTGGAAATTGAATCAAAGTATTCTTCGACAGAAAACATAACCGTTGTATCTTGCTTTTCTTCTGTTCCACTAGAACAAATCTCTGTGGTGTTTTTCTTCTGGTTCAATGGATACAACTCCCTTACTTTTTGTTCACATTTCTCTGTTTCAAACAAACAGCGATTTAATTCGTGCTACGAGGAATGAAAAAATAATCTAAAGTCCAAACCATCAACCATAAAAGGGAAATATGAAATATCTAATGAAAGAATCCAAATAAATGCAAACACCTGGACAATTAACATTATATTTTCATCAGAGAACAGTTCACGAAGACGGTTTTTGGAATCCTCATCCATATTGGGATGACACTTTGATGTTATTATGATGAAGCAGATGATTATGAAAGTTCTAATTAAAGCTATCCATAAGATGTAATCCAAGTACATGTTCAATAATACCCGAATTATGGATTTCCTTGGTCTTCCTTTTATCTCTGCATCAACTTCTCCTACACCAACTTTATAACGAATTTGTTATTATTTGTATTCAGTTTGATGTGTTTGAGTCTTACTTACATGACATGAAGAAGATAAAGTGCAATATAAGAAGTGGGAACGTTGACGTTGGAGTGAAAGAAAGAAATATTGTCGAAATAATCAGTATCAATTCAATGAGCGTAGCAATATGTTTAGTAGTTTCCATTAGATTGTAGTGTTTTTCTACTGTCTGCAAGAATGTAAAGTATTAACAATTCCGTGTAATTTTTTAAGATTAAAATTTTTCTCACCCCACGATACATATGGTAAACCATGCCTAAATGATTCACAAAGCAAAAATTGGACTAAGAATTGACATATTTCCCATTCTTAAAATCATCACAATCTATGCCACAAGTACTATATGCTATACAGAGGAAGAAAAACAATAGCTTCATCTGAACACGGAGATTTGTTTTTTTTTCGTACTTCATGAAATACACCACAGGCCATGAGTTTGGATACCCCTATGAATGAATTTGGCCCAAAATTTTTAAATTTCAAACCGCTTGTCCAATTTCAACATGCTATACGTCGTTGGAAAGGTCTCGGAGAGTACGTATCATTTTTGGTATTAAACATCAAAATCGGCCAGCTTTTGGCCAAGATATGGCTGATTGAAGATTTCGGCCAAAAATTACAAACGGCCATATCTTCGCCAAACGCCGGCCGATTTTGATGTTTAATACCACAAATCACATCTACTTTTCAAGACCTTTCCAATGGCGAATATAACTTTTTAATCCGATGGCCCGTTTAAGACTTCGATTTTGACTCCCACAGCTCAAAGTCCAAAAGATGGCCATAGGCCGGCCAAATGTTATCTCCCAAATCATCCATTCGGTCAGAATTTCGATATATTTTCATATCCAATACTAAATTTCAAGTGAAAATGTTCAAAAAACGTAGAAACAAACGTTTCATAGGGGTATCCAAACTTATGGCCTGTGGTACCTATAGCGACAAAAAATCCCATGTAAGCGATGATTGGCTCTGATTCTGGATCCAAATCGTATATTTGCTATTAATGTCATCAAAGAAAAAAAAAGAATTCTTCAGAAATAGTTGAACTTATAATAAGAATAATAAGAATATGCACAAAGGACAGGACACGATATGACCACAGTGTAGAAAAATAGATCTAAGAGCAACTTTCGAAAATCACTTGCATTAAAATCGATTGATTTCCACGTAAATTTTAAGAAAAACTTCATTCTGTCTGTGACGAAAAATTGATTTCTCAAGAGCAAATTGGAAATTTACTATAGTGTTGGAAAGTGTTAACAAACTAAAGGATATTGTTTACAAACAAGGAAACAACGTATAGGCGATCTCGAAAAGATCGTACACGAATCAAAGAACCAGAAAAACATGTGTCCAAACTCGTCCATCTGATTACTTGATGGAGTTTTGTGAGCTCAAGTTGAACTTATAATATAAGCTCGTCGCAAAGGCGTTTAATTGCCAGCCAATCTCTCTCTCTCTCTCTCACTCTCTCTGTTCTTAACTTAGAATTGGGAAATTGGACCACTTAAATCTAATGAAAGAATAAATGCTGTGTTTCACTTTAGTCATATAAATGCGTTTTATTTTTTTATGTGTTTTATTTTCTCTCGTTTTTTTCTTGCTCGTTTTTCTTTTTTGCAATTTTTCGATTTATTGTAACCATCAAAATATGTTCCTTTTAGTATTATTACATCCTTCTTGCTTTTTCTTTTCATTTTTCTCCATTTTTTTCTTCTCTTTAAATTTAATCGATAACTACATAAGGCAAAATGGTTAAGAGTTCATCATTATATGATTTGACGTGGACCACCTCATACCATTCTTTAAATTTATATCCATTCACTGAAACTCCAGTCGTATTGTCCGCGCCCAAATTATTGAAGCTGGGCAACATGCCGTTATTTTCTGATGATAGTGACGATTCGGGTTCAGTTTTCTCCTATGGAATTATAAATGAGACCGAAATTGTGTTAGACAACCGAAACAATATATCAAAATGGACATGTAAATAAAATTATCTTACTTTGTTTTTATCTTGGGTATTAACTTCATCTGCTGGCTCAGGTGAATGGTCTTGATTGACTCCGTTTCGATGAATGCCATCCACACTGTTGCTGTCGCCGTCGCCATCTTTTTCGTCACTTTGGAACAGTTGCTCGGGCAATGTGTTCTGAAATAGTAAATCATCATCATGATTACCCGTCAGACTGGCATTGCTTTCGATAAGTTCGTCGTGTACGAAATCTGGCGCAGGTGATGTATGTGATTCTAGAACGGTTTCTTTCGTTGGCACTTGTTCATCGTGAGACGCTTCCGTGTTCTGTAATTAAGTGAGAAATTCGTTGAAAATAGAAGCCACTCAATTGCTATGTCAAACGAAACAGTTTTAATTTGAATTGCACATACCAATTGCTGTTGCTCTTGAACAGCGTCGACGACCGGCGTTGATACATGGTCATCATCAGAACCAGCATCGTTATGCTCGTCTGGATTTGATATCGGTGTAAACTCTTTGACACCACCCGATTCGGTAACGTCCATACGTGTGGTGGGCTCAGATGGTTCGATGGCATTTGAAGTGGTGAACATGGAAGAAGGTGACAGCGCCGACATCGGCGATTGAGACGATGATTGCGATGAAGTGGATGCACAACGATAATGCTGCAATGATAAATACAAATGTGGTTTCCATTGTAAATCTCTATGTTCGGCTTTTGGACAAAATCAGAAAAAAACGGAATTGAATTTTGAAATGATTGAATACCTGAGGACACGGTCTTCGACGCATCCAACGTTTCATCTTTTTCGATCGAGGCGACAGTGTCGATGATGAACTCGTTGTTGAACTTGTCGAAGACGTTGATGACGACGATGATGACCGAAACCGTTTCTGTTGATTGCTGGTTTCGTTTAGCGATGAAAGCGCCTGATGCGTTTCCAGTGCATCCTTGGTCAGTTTTTGGTGAACATGTGGCTCATTACTTTCCATGTTGCTGGCTGATTTTGGCAGTGCACCACTTTGCAATTTATCTTCAACGAGTTTGTTGTCTGTTTTATTTTTTTCGGAAGAAGAGGAATTTTTTTTTGTGAAATTGTTCAAAATTCGATTGAAATTCTTGAATAGATCTATTCCTATCCTTCATCGATGAAGGAAAAGAGTTGGTTTTCTTGATAATTAGAACAGAAAACACTCCCTTCTTTCATTCGAAGAAGAAAAAAGAGTAAACGGAAGGCGAAAAGTATGAGAAAGAGGCCAATTACCATTATCAGCATGATCTGATTCCAAAGACTCGGCATTTAAGCGTTTCGAAATACGCGACTCTGATTCATCTGAATTGGCGGCCGATTGTGAATCGGAATTTTCATTGGAGAGATTCGATGATTTGCCACCCTCAATAAATACTGGCTTACAAAACATTGTTGGCACCACTAAATTATTGATGGTATCGCTATCGTCATCGATATCATCACTGTCCGACATGATTTCATTTTCGTCATCATCACAGACCATATTGCCAAACAGTTTGCCATCCAATGCGGCCTCTTTATTTGCCTCCTCATCACAGCTACTGCCGCTATTACTCGATTGTGATTGCTTTAACTCCGATGACGATGGCACTAATGCTATAAATAGATAAAATTTTGTGTCAATTAATTAAATTGTTGTGTGCGAAAAAAAAGTGTCAGATATTCGATTGACCAAAAACTCTGAAATTCCAGATGCTTGCGGCATTACTCATTTTGTCAATATTTCAATACAACTCAGATACTTCGATACAGATAAATAACATTGAATCACCGCATTCCATGTGAAAATGTATTGGAACACATTTCCAATGAAATCAACAATTGGATTTAACCACATATTTCGATAAAATCATTTCGAAACGCGTTAAACTTTTTAAATAGGTCGAATGAAAATAATTGGCGGTTTTTCATACAAATCACTAATTTGCAATTGAATTAATCCGAAATAATTCGTATCTGGGCTGGTGAGCGACTGATTTTAATTTAAAATTTTCAAACGAACACACCCAGGTCAACGATTATCTTAACCAATTCATGGAATTTCTTCGGACAAAAATGAGTCACCCACATATTTTCACGAGCAAAAAAAAAACCGCGAAATACTTTAAAAAATGAAACAAAAAAACTCACCAGCATCGAAATTATCTAATGTTATGAAGTGATCGTTGCTGGTGTCTTGTTCGTAATTATCAAAAGATAAATCTTCTTCTGAAATGAAAAATAAAACATATACGTTGAGATTAGTGGATGATGGCACAAAAAACCGATGCACTATAGCTAATCGTATCGAATCAGAGTTTTGATTGTTTTTTTGTTGTTGTTGTTTCTGCCGTGAATGGTGTGTTTTTTTGTTGTTGTTGTAAAAAAGTGCTTTGTCATACCAAGAGATGAATCATCGTTGTCATCGTTCTCTTCATTATCGTCATGATCGTCATTGTCCTCGTCGTCTGATTCTGACAGATCCGTTGTTGGTATGGATCCAACTTGATCTAGTTCTGCATCGATGCCCACACTTGATTTAAATCCATCAGATCTATCTCGTACTATTTTACATTCCCGCTGTTCACCCACCATCGCCATGTCAAACGATTTACTACACAAATAATTACAATATGATTAATATAGAAGTTCAACAAAAGCCATTTGGCCGCTAATAACGACAATGATTTCAAAACAGGTTCCATGATTAGAAGAAGAAGAAAAATTTTGCCATTTTTGTTCGTTGATTTGATAACTAAAGCTAATTCTATGAAAAATTCGATTTTGCAATGATATTTAGCATGGCAAAACATAATTTCTTTCTTTGTTATCAATAATGTAGTCTACATAATGTAGACGCTCAATATCCGTGAGATTCATCGATCCTCACCTGAGTTGATTTTCAAAATCCATAGAGTCCACCGCATTTTCATCAGTTGCCGGCAATATTTGATTTGGACTTAGATTGATAACTTGGTGTACGTTATCGTTATCGTGTGCGCCAGCACGTGCATTCTCATCAATCACCGGTGACGGTGGTTTTGCTGCTTCACTGCCATTGTACGACTCAATATCACTCTCTGAAAAAAAAAGAAAAAAATTCTCACATATTATAACCACACTCATAAAAATGTTGTCACGAACAAAGGTCATAATTTTTTATGTGTGTCGACTACGCCACATTATATCAATTAATAGGTTTATTTATAAGCAAAAACACTGATATCCAAATTTGGAGGCAGAATGTATTACGTACCTTCGTGATAATGTTTAGGTTCCATTGATTCAACGTATGGATCGCTTGCCATTGGATATAGATCGTTTTCTTTGTCCGATTTGAGTTCATCATCATTGCTGATAACAATATCATCGACTTCCATTTCCGACAGCTGTTCAACTGGTTCACATTCAAAATCAGCGGTTGGTATTGATTCGCACGGTTGATCCAAACCACTAAGATCAATGTCTGGTGAACGTTTTCTGTATCGAATACATCAAAATTTGATTAACCTAATGCTCCAACCACACTTTGCAATCCCAAATCTACATTGGATTGTGATCATTAAACAAAACTTTCAAACGAAATGGTGTATAAAATGCGATCGTACCGTCCACAATCGATGTCATCGATATCGTTGTCGCATCCATAAATGGGAAAATCTCGATGAATTCTCGCTCCAAATGAATCATCAGCGACAAGATCGCAATTGTTATCATTCGTTCGAACACATCGATCGGTGGCATTTGTTTTGCACTCTGATTGTAATGGCGGTGACTCCGTTTCCTCTGCAATCACTTCTTTTTTCACCGTAATGCTGGCCAAAAAGATATGTGGCTCTACTTCATCGGATGGACCAAAGTCCAGATTGATATGATTGAGATTTTTCGGCAATCGATCCAGGATCAAGTGATTGCACAGTGGTACAACACGTTCATATAAACCGATTGATGCTTCCGTTATGCGTGGCTCCATTTCTAACAGCTCGATATCCTCCTCATCGGTTTTGGTTTCAGTTGGTTGTGGCCCATTATCTGGTTCCGCTATCGTCGTCGTTGTCTGCGCTATCGTTTCGCTATCACTCTGCACCGCTTGTTCAGCATCATTATCGCAAATCATTTGCGTTGGTTTCTCATCGGCCGGTCTCAATTTCACGGAGCTCTCTTCACACTTGGCATCATCCCAATTTCCATTGACGTTTGGTATGTATGAGGTATGCAGTTTTTCGATGTGAAACTCCGTGATCAATTGTTTCGTTGTGATGTACAATTGTTTCGCCTTACAGTTCACATCTTCTTCGATACGGAAACGTGGTTGAGGTGGTGCAATTGCATTGAGATCAGCCGTCTTTATCGTCGTCATCGGTTCGTCGTGCATTGATTTCGATGGAATTACATTGGCATTGGCAGCGATAGTGGTTGGATCGTGAATATTTGCATCGAACAATTGGCGATCATTCACGTGGCCCGTTTGACCGCTGTTGTGTACATTTTGTAAATTGCTTTTCGCCATACTCTTAATTGATGTACCTCGTGTCGAAGTATCATCAACTTCTTGTTTTTCTCCTAATTCTCCTCTACCATCTTCACGTTTATTATTCTCGTTGAGAAACAATTCATCACAGCTTTTGTCATCAGAAATGTCGTTATTACTATGCCTATTACTACTTAGCTTATTTAATTTTGTTGTATTTAAATTTATATTATTATTGTGATTTAATTTAAATGTAATTGGATCATCGTCCTCTTCATAGTCCAAATCAAATATGGATTTAACGGTTGGCTTTTTCACCATTGGTTCAGGCGGTTCGGTTGATGTTTTTATGCTAATGCTGGTTGAGGTAGCCACTGTACTATTGAAATCCGTATGTGGATTTGATTTGGTAGCGGCGTTGGCGTTGAATGGCGTTGATGATTGATCATCACTCAATCCATGCGTGGATGGCCGACCATCGATCGGCATTGCTTGCGGAAGTACATTGCAGTCGGTTAACATCTTTGGCACATTTACACTTTCAGTTATGCTAGGATCCTTTGTATTCGAGTCATGCAGCACATTCTCATCGGTATCGGTTACTTCAATCAATTTACACGTACACACAACGGTATCGTGCAACTGGGTTTTTTGCCATGACCTCAGCGCCGCCTTATTCACTGGCGGCAATTTTGCATGCAATTCATCCATTTCCTTGTCAACTTCACTCTTTGGCTCCGTATTATCGATGATCGCTGGATTTTCATATGAGCTTTGATTATCGGACACGGATCCGTCTTTGGCCGCTGATTTTGACTTTTTACTGCTGACACGTTCCGAGCTTGCGGTTCGAGTATGTGAAGACAACATCGGTGATGTCGGTGTCGCTGTTCTTGACCTATATTTCAAAGAACAAGATTTTAGTACCAGATTTGTAGCGAAAAAATTGTTTCCACCTTGGACACTTAAGAGAGGCAAAATCCCAAGTAAATTTTGAGCAGAGAATAAAAAATTCGGCAACAAATCATTGACATACCCCGAATTATGTTTTCCATTTGTAAATCCATTTTCATCGGCATCCTGGTACGATTGCAGCTGTGATTCAACTGCGCTAATATCCTCAGCCGTTGCGCTGGCTTTGCGATTTTGTAGCTCGGCCAGCAGTTCCTTGGTGGTTTTGACCTTTTTCGTCGTGCCTCGAATCAAATCGATCTTATTTTTTAACGATGAAAATGAAATTGAATCATAGTATGGGGCACCGGTTTGTTGTGAATGCGACGAATTGCTAGCACTGCCCAGACGACTATCAACGCCTTTTGAACCCTTTTTGCGTCCACGCTTTTTACCGGTTTGCTGGAGTTCACTGGTTGATCCTAAATTTGAAATTGATGTTTTCGCTGCATCATTCGCAAGCAAATCATCCTAAAATGAGAAACGAACAGAATATTGTTTGCCAAGATTGAGGTTAGATTGTTTGCCATTCAAAATTTCACTTTTTATTTCAATTTATTGTATTATTTATAAAGCTGCTCATCAAATGCGTTTTTATGGTGGGAAATGCATTTCCTGGTCGTGAAATCGAAAGTAATGTTCGATGCAAAAATCCAAATGTTATTTACAGCTATTTGCAGGAGAAGCAAAAGTCGTGAAAGACTAGTAAAAAATAATTTGCGCACATGTGTAGATCGCATCATGCTTTCGTGTTGGTAAATACAGCAAACGGATGTTTATTGATTGCTCATGACGAAATGCATAAACAAAGCTGATTCATCCATAGTTTGAGAACGGCTTTTTCGAACGAAAGATTTGGTTTCCCAAAAGAACACCTTTCCATATTTTAAGCTAGAGTTGGCTTGAAGAAAAAATTAAACTCTTTCGATCACATACCTGCTGCACCAGGCTCTCAAATGGGCTGGCTCGTGACGATTCGGTTTGCTGTATTAGCGATATATGTTGAGTGGATGAGTTTTCTTCGTCGGTGGCAACACGGCTACCATATTCATTGCTACCACCAATTCCTGCCGTTCCAACACCTAGACTAGAGCTACGACTTATGGGAGTTCTTTGAGGTGTTTGTGAACGATATTTTGGACTATTGCTACCACTACTACTGTCAATATTAATGATATTGTCATCGGTTTTTGTAAATCGGCCGGTAAATGTTAGATCATCGGTTGATACGGTGTTTGATTTCATTGCGCTTGGTGTCCACAGTGATGATGCATTACTTTTTGCGCTGCTCGCATTGATCGATGTCGATGGTAACGATGTGCCGATGCTATTCGTGAATCCAATGTTATTTGCTAGCACATTGTGGTCCTTTATTGAATCACTGGTGGTTCCAAACAAGCTCATCGAATTGCTTGACAGGCTATCGGGCAGTTCAAGTACCGGTGCGCTTATTGGAATCGGTTGTATTCGTTCGATTGTTGCCGTCGATAATGTCGCCGGCGATGATGATTGTTTCTGCTTCTTACTTTTCTTGTCTTTTTTGTGCTTTTTATGCTTCTTCTTGACCACTTCATTATTCACACTTTCACTGCTCGGTTGACTAACATTTGGTACGATTCTGTATGGCATTCGATCCATGAGGAAAATAGGTTAGTGATTAGTTTTTCATTTTGTTTTCACACGCAAAAAAAATATCAACTAGGATACTACTTTCGTCAATACATACATTTCCGGTTCGATGATGTTTATTGATGATGAGTTCGAATTAATGTCCATTACAGTCGAATTGTTATCATCGTAGTCTTGATTGCGCCCGTTCAACATGGATGGCGGCGGTGGCGGTTGATTTGACGGAAATCGTTTACTATAATTTTGCATATCGTACGCGTGCATTGAATTGTCATCGTGTATGGTCGATTGGGTAATTGATGAAAATTTTGGCGACGATGTCTCTTTTAAATTCACTAATGGACTATGCGATCGTTCGGTATGTTTACTTAATCTCAGCGACGTGGCAGAGTTTTTAATTTTCGGTATTTTTGGTAAGGCAGATATGCTGATGTGGCTTTTTGAATTCTCATTCATGGTAGGCAACATCGTTCGATACGGATCCGGCTCCAATTTATTTTTGCCACTAAAATTAGGCAACGATGACGACGACGACGACGATAATGTTGGCAACGAAGATGGTGGCGGTTGCTGCGACACACCTTGTCGTCCAACATTTGTATTTAAATTCGTAGATTTGATGTCGTGAAATTTACTATAACGCGTACAGTCTTCAGTTTGATCAGCTGCCATTGCAAGATTTTTACTTTGCGGCGGCAACAACGATGCATGATTTGAGCCGGTCTCATGTATTCGTCCATGTCGTCTGCTATCACTTGTTGGGTACTTTGAATTATCGACACTAACACGATCGCTTGTGTCGTGAAACTGTGCTGGTTCACGGCTTTTTTGATTGTAAAATTGCCCGCCTCGCCCATCAAACGGCTGCGCTGGGAAATCTGAAAACGAAAGGCAAATCTCATCAGTCGTTGGCACTCTTTCTTCTGTTCGAAAAGTCTACTATCCAGAGCGGACAATCGAGTTTTGATTCAACAAAAAAACGAATGAAACTTCGTGCAAAGGGTATCAATTTCGTTCATGATTATTTCCCGAACATGAAACGATGTCCGAAGAGATCGTTCGCCCGGAGAATATTGGTCTGGCGCCGTGAATTTCGACCAGTATTCTTACCTCTAGGTATAGTTTGTTGTTGCGGTTGCTGTTGTGCGGCACCTCCTGATGGTGGTAAAACCATTTCACGCCATTTCTTCAGCAAATTCTTTGCGCGGCGGGCCAGCGATTCATTGGCTGTTTTACGGCGTAAATGGTTTATATACTTTCCCAGTCGGGTGGTTTCCAGTTGTTCTTTTGTGATCTGTATGTTTTCCAACTGAGTGATAACTTGTAATACCGTGTCCATGTCGGCGACCTGAAATATGCATGTGAATGAGATATTTGTTCTGTTTATTATTGTTGTCATTATTTGGCGGTCATCATTGGCCAAGGCTGTGTGTGTGTGGGTTTCTATTTGAAATCCACTCTGTTTCCGCCTTCCGTTCCATTGTAAATGGCACTCAACGCTCATTTGTCACCGCACAAAATTTGTGGTGCCATTTGCAAAGCCAATGCGATTTCAATGGGATTGGTTATTTTTGCATCATTTTGATACTTGATTTCAAAAACTGATTTGATGGAAATGAAAACGTGACAATTTTTACTTACATTGTAACTCTGATCCAATGCGCTTTGTAGCCGTTGTGATATTTCGGCAATTTGAATACTCATTAAAAAATGAGTAGTAATGAACTGTGTGTCAACACGTTAAAAATTGAAATGGTCTTACAACCAATCACTTATTCGAAGTGTATGACTGTGACAACGTTCCAGGTTGAATGATATATTTGTGATAAATATATATATCGTTGAAAAAATAGATGGGAAATGAGTCTGGGGGTCAGATATTTCTCAATATGACCAATTCACTCCGCTATAGTCCGTGTGTTGTGTCATTCGGTTGGAGGTATGTGCGAGCAAATTTCGAATTGTTATCGAAATTGCCAACAAAATTCTCACTCGAAAAAGAACCGAACTGTTTTCGGTTTGAATGCACAACAATCAAGCGGGATTTACAAGGAGAAAACTGAAGAGAAAACTAAACGGCTAAAACAATAACACACACGCACACGTTTCTCTATCTTTCTTTCTCTCTCTCTCGCTTGCTCTCTCGCCCGTTCTCTACATAAATCCGTTGAATCGAACGTCGGAGGATGTCATTCAGCATGAAAATCAAGTGTCGCGCGAATCAGTTGTGGTACACACCTGTAAATGAAATGAAAGTAGCATTAGAATATTGAATTTTGACCAATTGGTGTGTATGTGTGTGTGTGTGTATGTGTCAAATTAGTGTCATTTTGCCGATACATTCGAATTGCATTATTCGACTGCTAATGTGAGTGCCCGAATTATTATTTGGTTTTTGTTTCATTTGGATCCGAAGAAAATAATGAGTAAGGTGCGGTCCGAGCCGATTTTCACTGTGTTACACACTCACACGATTCCGGTGCATATATAGCATTGTTTGCATTTATTTTTCATATGAATTTTGGATTAACCAATCAATTTAAACGAGAACACAAATCATTTGAACATCATTTTCAAGGTAATTTAATTCGCAGAAGAAGAAGAAGAAGAAGAAGAAGAACATTTACTGAAGAACCAGAAAGATCTAAGAGTGCTAGTTATGACAGCATTTGTCTTGTTATGTATAGTTTTTTTTTGCATATTTCTCGATGGGGTCGATTCGCACACACGTATTTACGTATAATCTATATTGCGTACAACTAGACACACATCAGATTCGCATAAAAAAAAAACTATTGTCCACGTTGAAAATTAAAATCTATTCACATATGTATGTATGTATATTTGATGTGGTTGTCGAATGTGGAAAGGAAACATTATTATTATGTGTCAAATGGAAAGGTATACACATCAAAAAAGGCCGAACAGTAACGGAGACAGCGAGAGAAAGAGTCAATCTCTTCGATCACTCGACACACAGAAGAAGAAAAAACCGATATTTATTTATTATGATTGTTTTTTTTCGCGTTGATTCTTGATTCTTCGCATCAGCACATTTTACTTCTTCGTGGTCGTTGTTGTCGTAGCACTTCAACTGGGTTGCCCTCAGTATTCGTGTTTATAAATTTAAAATTCATAGGCTTCTTATTTTCCATATCATTGTCATGAGGGGCGAATAAATTTTTGCTGCGTGTTTTTTCTTCTTCTTCTTCTTCTTCTTCTTCTCTCTGCTTTTCCTCTCGCAATTTATTTGATTGCTTTCATTTTTTTATGCTATTCGTTTTCAAAACATTTTGGTTTCGTAATTTCGATTCGGTTTTTTTTTCCTTCTGTGGTGTGTGGTACGGTTTTGCTCTCAATCTCAAAATCGAGGCTCAATTTCGTGCTCATTTCATTGTCACTGTTTTTTTTCGCTCTCTTTCAGATGATTTTCATAAATTCATTCTCCAAAAATGTTTTCATTGTTCCATTGAAACCAAATAATCAAATAAAAATTATGCAGGCAACAGTAGCGATATTGTTCATTTGGGCCTGCCATAGCATTCACATTTCATGTTCAACATTTTTCATTCACAATTTTTGTTTCATTTTGTTTTGTTGTTGTTGTAATTGAGCAAAAAAAAATGTTTTTCTAAAGGATTCGCAAAACAACAAAATCAAGATTCATTTCGTTTTATTTTGCTCGGTTCTTGTGGTCGAAATAAAAGAAAACAGAAATACTATTCTGACGAGTGAAGAAAAGACAAGCTAGCGAGAGTAAAGAAAAAAATAATAAAATATACCGTAGTATTTGTAGTATATTTCATACATACTAGTGAACGATCAGCAGCAACAGCAGAAACAACACTCAATCTGTCTTTTCAAATTATATATATATATATATATATATATTTTTATATACGTATATAACCTTTTTGCTCGCTCTCAGCTCACTCGCACAGCAAAACTTTTCTCTTTTTCAGTTCAGTGTTGTTCAACCAAAGAAGGGCAAAAAAATTTTTTCTCTATATATTGGCTGATTTCACGTATTTAAAAAAAATAACATTTGCCTCATTGGCAAATAAATCACGGTCCCAGTTAAATAATTTTAATAAATAAAAATTGTTTGAAGCGTACACAGTATTTATAGAATAATTTGAACCATTTGATTTGTTCAATGTTGGGAAAATTCGAAAAAAAAATTCGATTTGTGTTTGACGTGCTTACGATACGCGTGTAAAACAACTTGTAGTTGTCGCGTAATGGCGGCGATGATGATAATGCCTGACGAACAACGGTGTGTATTGAATGACTCGCTCGCATTGTCGAGACTCGAATTCTCTACTGGCCATGCAGATTTATTTCGTATTTTCGCTCTTAATACTTAAATGTCAGCGTAAACTAAAAATGCTATGCATCTTACTCTATTGGTTAGATGGTTGTCTCGTTCGGGCTAGCTGTTCGCACACAATAAACCGAACGAAAAACCCGATGTACGTGTGTGTATTGGTGGGCATGAAATGATGTGTCGAATGTATGTTTTGACGGTGCGCTGCATGTTATGTGTGCAACGCGAACAAGGCCCGTTCGTATCTGTGTATGTGTGTGTGTGTGTGTGTGGGTATTTTTGAGTGAACATGAGCAACGAATTCGGCTAGAAGAAGACAACCACATTCTTCGATGAAACGATTACCTGATGGGTGGTAAAATGTTGAAGTATGCAAATGAATTCGCTGCGGCCAGCAGACGGCACTGCAATCGCACCAATCGACTGAATGACAATACTTTAATTTTGTAGCGAATTTCAGCATTGACTGCAAACATTTTGAATACCAAACAGCCAAATACAACGGATTTAATGCTTTGAACGAACTGAAAAATGAGAATTGAAAATTGTTCACCAATTTTTTTTTGTCAAATAATTTTCCAAATAAATTGCATCTCATTCAACAGCGTTTGCAGAAATGAGATGAAAAATAAAACGTCATGTAGCGAATTATTCATCAGCGAATTGCGTTCATTGACAGTTCCGACCAAATACGAGCTTCTCACAATTTGGTTGTCACTGTTCACCTATATCTATCGCATACACACACAGAACCGATTTCATTCAATCCGAAAAATGTATTGAGAGAAACGAAACGGAAAATCCAAATCACACACTGTATGTCGATGTTTTTACGCATGTTCTAGTAGAGCTGTTCCTCTTTTCTAACGTAACAACAGCGAAGTGAGAGAACAAACGTACGAAAAGAAGAAAATAATTTTGCTCTCTTTTGCTACTGGTGGTGTGCATGTATTTGTGTGTGCACAAAATAAGACAACTGAATAAATAAGCAAAGGCAGAGCAGAAAAAAAACAATGGATTGGTCTGTCCGTCGACAAGAGTAAAATTAAATAATGATAGAACGAAATTTAAATTAAAAAACATAACATTTAACAATTAAATAGAAAAAAATCAACAAACACACACACATAGAGAGATTTTGATGTTTTTTTGTTGTTGTTGTTTTGGTTTAGATTGTATTTATTGTAATTCAAAATTGGTGTAAAGAAAATACGAGCAAAATATAAACAACAAAAATGGATGATAGCATAAATAATTTTATGGTTGATAATCGAATAAGATTTTTGGAGAATCGTGACAACAATTCGCGTTGGTGTGATCCAGATGTAAGTAATCCAACCTCGCATTTAATGCCATACACTTTCTCTTTCGATTCCATCGGACAAATCGATATTCAATTAATGTGTTGTGTTTTTCTTCGTGATTGGACCCATTCAGAATGGCAGCAATTTGGAATGTCCTGACTTGGATTTTGTGTACAGTGATACCGATACGCATCCAAATGAGATCGCCGAACTGTACAGCTACACCGAGCAAAGTGAATTCCATTTGAATATTCGGGTTAGTCGAGTCGCGCCCAAAATCGATGCTTTTTTTTCGTACATTTGATAATAATTTTTTCCCCTCATGTGTTCTATCATAGGCATTTGAAGAACAAATGGCCTATTACAGATTGGTACCAAGTTGGCAAAAGTTGACAGTGAATCAGCGCAAAGATGTTATACTCAAATTGCTCGATCAACTGGATCTATCGAGAAAGAATCTACGGATGCAGGCAGCTCGAACCATTTTGTATTTGGCACAGGGCTGCTTCTGTGAAGTGCAATCCGATCACGAGCAACTGGAATGGACCCGTGAAAATGTCAAGCTACTCTATAATATGGGAGTATTCGCAGTTTTTGTGGAACTTTTAAATTATGAGATTGAGTAAGTTCTAATTCTTCTAGTACTTCTGGTTCAATTCATTCTGCGAATTTGGATTTTTATGATGCTTTGTTTTTTTTTCACACAGAAATTCGAGTGCAACAAACATTGCAATGAGGAAAGTGGCCGTTTCATTGGCCGATTCCGTGGATTTGCGCATTATTTTATCAGTTTTGTACATTATGACGGAGGTGATTCGCAACGAAAAGGTGGCCGGATCAAATGATTTTAAGGACATCGCCGAAACATTCACAAATGAACTGAGTAAGTGATTTTTGACAACCTCTTTCTGTATCTATAAATCGGTTCAATACAAGACTTCAAATTAAATTGAGGCATTTAATCAATGGATTTCTTAATAAGAGATGACTTGAGTGAGTTATGTATATTGAGTGAAGAGTTCAATGAATTATAGGAAGAACTGGTTGAATTCTTGAAAATTTCCATGAAAGTCACATACTTAATGAGATTTAGAAAATAGATTTTCAAAATAGATGCAAACTGAGGAGAAATTCAAGTGGATTTTATTCAAATTACCCATTTTAAACGCATTTCAGACGCGCCCATCGGAGATGAACTCCTTGCAGTAAAGCTGTTGAATATGATAACACGATTTTGTGGCGGTACCGCTCCACATTTCCCTATGAAAAAAGTGCTGTTGCTGCTGTGGAAAATCTCGTTAGTCAGTTTGGGTGGAATGGACACGCTTCGGAGATTAAAAGGTAAATACAACACCTCGAATCATTGTCATGGACAAAACGATTTTATTCATCTAAGATGAATTTTCTTTGAATGTTATTTTGTCACCATTGAATTAAAGCCTTTTCATCTAGAAAAACATCGTTAAAACAATTTACTAAATCAAATTTTGCTAATCTAAATTCGAATGTGTTCACAGATGAATATAGGAAACAAAACAATTTAAGCCCCGTAAAAGAGGATACATTGGAAGTTGCCAGGTTGTCACATAATTTCAATTTTTATTTTCATTTTCAAGTTGAATTGAAAGATTTATTTGAGCTCGAAGTTTGAATTTCAATCACATATTCGGTTCAAATTATATCCAATTTAGAACTCCAAATCAAAAATTTATTCAAAATAAGAATTTCCAATCAAATCTTTGAATTTTCCTTGAAAACCGTCTTTATTTTCACTTTTGAGATCGATGAAAAATGTTGAATTTAATGAATTGTCTATTTTTATTCTGTTCCAATTCGATTAGGAATATGCGTCCAAGTTCGCCGCCTGCCACTGTGGCCGATATGCTGGACAATCAGAATGCAAAACGGAATCGTCCCTTCAGACGAGTACGTACGAACGATATATTGCAAGAGGTAGAGATGCTTTCTAGTTCTTCCCATTCTATTCATTGTGTGTGCTAATGATTCGGAATAATTTAACTAATTAATATTCTCACACGGATTTTGTTCCGGGACAACTTATGTTTTATATTTTTTTCGAAAAAACAATCAATCCAAGACAAAACGAATCAAACAAAACGAAAACCAATTACACAAACCAAACAAAAATCTGCTCTATTTTTCCGAGAGTTCCAACTAAAACTTCAGTTATAAGCTTACCAACGAAATCTAACGTTAATTTCTCGTGCTGAAAATGGTCAAACGAACAAAAAGAAAAGAATACAATCATTTCCAAACGATATTCCAATCGTTCCAAAATGAACAACATGACAGAAAAAGAGAGAGAGAGAGAGAGAGAGAGAGAGAGAGAGAGAGAGAGAGAGAAATCGATAAAAGCAACACTGACGAACCAAATTACCCGGATATTTTCCATGGCTTGGCTTGGCTAAAATTCCATCTTTCCATAAATTCCATCAAGAAAGCATTTCTATTACAAATCTTCATTAACAATCATTTAGTTTATCTCGCTCCTTGTGTGACTCTTTGTTGTTCACCCTCACGCATACACCATCCAATTGCTACTATCTAGCTAGACAAGAGAAAAGAGTGTGAAGAGACTACGTCAACATCCAATTCAATGTCGATGTTATTTCTTTAGAATTAAAACCCAAAAATTCACTGCTTTTTAGTAGAACATTTGATTCACAAGTAGATGTCCTGCCGTTTTTTTCTTCGAAAATTTGACATATGTCCACGGTACCAACCAATGGAGAAATTACTTCTAGACTTTGGTGCGCACGGTGTAACATATCGAAAATGATGGAAAAAAAACAGCGTGTTTACTGCATTGTTGAATCAGCATTTATTCATGCTCTCAGCCCAACGAACAACTTTCGTAGATCCTTTATTGAAAGATGAATGTCGAGCACTGCAATTTGTTTTTCAAATCAGTGTGAGAAGAAGATGCAATCAATTGATCAATTTTTCGTATGAGAAATGCACAAACACGAAAGTTGTTCGATGCGACTGTTGAATTTCCGTAGGATTCATTTCTTTCATTGTTATTGTAATTTATTATAAATGGTAGCTACTGAGTCCTTAATCAAATCATTTGTTTTTTGCTTCATGCCTTGCGTTCGTAAGGGAATCTAGAAAAAAAACGTTACTATTTCAATGTGTCCAAAGAATAACTGACTTCTGTTCTATATATTTTATTCTATCTTAAATGAACATATGAGATCTATTCTATTTTCCTTTTCTTTGAAAAAAAAAAAATATCATAGATTAAAATTAGCAAGTCTATAGTCTACTTTTCTCCCAAGACACATAACACACTCTGCCAGAATAACTCTGTATCTATTCTATTTCTATTTCCCTTGATAATGATGGTTCGGCTTGATTTCGTTCCAAAGTAATGTGCCTCATGTATTGGTCAAAATTGATGTGATCAAGCTGAATTGACTTTCTTCCTTCTTTCCGAGTGAAAAACCACAATAAACCAATCAAAAACATCCATCATTTGATTCGAGCATGCATTGTTTTGCCTATGAAACAAACCAAACAAACACACATACACAACATTTAGTTAACTCTTGGAGAAATACACTGTGTGACACTAGGGACCTTACAGTTAGACCGTGTATAGTAAATATAGATTCCACCTGATTTTTTTTGTGTTACCCCTCATTTTGGGATATTAGATCCAATGACATTGTAAATCAATTCTCATAACACCATGTGTTTAGTCCACAGTTGTGCACATTTCAAAACAGAAAAGATAAAAACAATGCAGAAAAAACCACGTACACACACAATAATTGAAACGCCTTTTTGCTTGAAGTTCATTTGCCTGTGTTAGTTATATCCTACTGAAACTCTTCTATCCAAGTAAAATAATGTTGTAAATACATATCCAAATTCTATCTAGAGAACATTTAGTTGAGTTGAACCAAAAAAACAAACAAACAAACACATACACTTTTTGCTATCAAAAGAGCTGTCTCTTACCATATGGTAAATGGTTTCGATGCAATAGCCATTCTTTGATTGACTTGATGTTTTTTGTGATTTTTTCGCGTGTGCCATCGGCCTCATCATTTCGGTGATGAGGTCGGATGGCGATAATCTCACGTAAAATTTCATTAAAACAGCGAGTTGATTGACGTATTTACCTTGTCTTTTTGTTTTAAATGAATGATCATTTTTTATGAATGAACATGCAGTGCACGCCTTGTGATCATACCCTTAAACCGATTTAGTCTAAATTTGGGTCTCAGTCCATTTTGTTTAGTCTCATTCATTGTGTCTATATTTCGTTTTTTTCTTTTGTTTTAGACGAAAAAAAAACATTGCAAAATTACGTATAGCTTTGAATGTTTGACTCACATTTAGACGTATATATATATATAGTTTATTCATTCTCTTGTGCATTTGCATACTATCTTACATTTTGTACCTAAACATCCAGTTCAATGACTACTCCATTATCTGTTTGTTACTACTTTTGTTGTAAATTTCTTTATTTCTTCACTCTTCTTCTTTAATTCGTGACGGAAGAGTATTAATGCGTTTCTTTTTCCAAATCACTTGTTTTGTTTACAATTATTGTTGTAAATTTAAACAATAAATAGCAAAGCTTGATCAAACAAAGTTCATTGGATGAACAAGAGCAAATGACATTGGAACAGCAGGAGAATGATGAGGAAATCAATGATGATTATCGACCGACAACAAATGGCACTGATACAACTACACCGCCAGAAAATCCAAATCCAGAAAATGAAGATACGGTCAGTTCGAATGGAACGACAGCGCTCACAATGGCGCCATCGACAACCGCACCACCCAATTGGAATCAGAGTAAGTCTATCTACGCGCTATACAAGATACCGTGTTGATTTAGTACGAATTGATTCAATATGATTGGGAAAAGACGTTTTTACATGATTTGATTGAGGAAGCCACTCTGATTTAACCCAAAATCGAAATATATAGTTCAATAGCGGATGTTGCTGTTGTTTCGAAATTAATCGAATTGAAATGCTTCAAATCAAAGAAAATCAATTCAAATATTAGCATTAAGTTCGAGTATCGTTAAAAAGAGCTCAGCATTGTGTTCCATAAATGTTATCAGAACATCAAAGCAAGAATCAAGTGCTAATCAATTACTATCAACTTTTCAGTTATAAAACTACCATGGGCGCCAAAGGTGCGTCAAAAGGACATCGACCAGTTTTTATATGATTCACGAAACAAATTCATTGGCTACTCATTCACCGGTGATCACGAGAGTTTGGCTGGACTTCCGCATCCCATACACGAAGGATATAACATTCTCAAAAAAGTAAAATTTTCAGTAGTTTTTTTTTTTCTATCAAAGGAGTGTCGTACAATGTACACTCACTTTATAAAGACTTATCGAAAAATTCATCATTTCTTGCTGATGTGTCATCCAAGATATAACACATAAGCCCCTAGATAATTTTATTCATTTTTCTGCAAACTTCAACATCAGTTCATTCATTTTTCCTTCCTTTTTCCAGCATATGTACACTAGTCTATCAGATATTCATATAAAACGCGAAGAAGAAATCGCTCGGAATCCATTGGTCAATGTTGAAAATGATATTCCAATGACGCCCGCCGAAATTCTGTATCAAGCAATTCTACCAAATCTTCCGCAGTGTATGATTGCACTATTGAAAATCCTGTTGGCCGCATCGCCCACATCCAAAGCCAAAACCGAAAGCATTAATATTATGGCTGACGTTTTGCCTGAAGAAATGCCGTAAGTTACACGAACGGAATGACAGTTCAGTACAGACTCTAACTAGGAAAAAAACCATTTTTCTAACACAAATGTCAAGTTTGATAACAGAGAAGGAACTGATTTGTATACAATGGATGGTTTCATTTTCGTTTCTGTGTCTTTTTTGCTTGACAACTTTTTCTCTTTGACTACTTTTGTGCTAAAACTTTTTCGGTCTTAAATTGATTTGTTGTTTCTTTTTGTATCTTTTTCCAAAATTTGCATGTGTATGTTTGAAACACCAAAAAAGTTTTTTTTTTTAAATTTGTCATCATTTCCATTGATTTCATCTAACTGTTCGATTCTCTGCCTCTCATTAGTGTAACGGTAACGCAATCAACAAAGCTGGGCATCGATGTGAATCGTCATAAGGAGATTATCATAAAAGCAGTGTCTGCCATTTTATTGTTGTATTTGAAGCATTTCAAAATCAATCATGTGTATCAATTTGAGGTGATGTCACAGCATTTAGTGTTTGCCAATTGTATACCATTGGTGTTGAAATTCTTCAATCAAAACCTATTGGGCTACGTTGGATCAAAGAATGTGTAAGTAGAATGTTTGATAAACAGAGTTTGCTCAACATTTTATTAATCGAATATATGGTTCATCGATTAATTTATTTCATTTGTGGCACAGAATTCCAATATTGGATTTCCCGGCTTGCATAATCGGTGATTCACCACCGGAACTCACGTCGGACAGTTTGGTCATCGGAGATACTGCACCGTATTCATGGCGAAATATATTTTCGTGCATCAATTTGTTGCGAATTCTCAATAAGCTAACAAAATGGAAACATTCACGTGTCATGATGCTGGTGGTGTTTAAAGCGGCCCCAATTTTAAAACGAACATTAAAAGTGAGACATGCTCTGATGCAATTGTATGTGCTGAAATTGTTGAAAATGCAAACCAAATATCTGGGACGTCAATGGCGTAAAACTAATATGAAAATCATTAGTGCGATTTACGAAAAGGTTCGACATCGTCTCAACGATGACTGGGCATTCGGCAATGGTGAGTTGTACACATTCTTTGAGCTGATATGATATCGCGTATTTGTGACATATGAACTCAATACGTGTTCATATTCCTCTTTATCATTTCTAACACGAAATCTTTCTTTGCAAAAACAGATTTAGATGCCCGCCCATGGGATTTCCAGATGGAAGAGTGCACATTGCGTTCGTGCGTCGATCGTTTCAATAATCGACGGTATTTGTCGGCACAAGCCTATATGAATGCGAAAAATGCTCATGTTATGCCACATTTGCTACCCAATGCCAACAATGCAAATATTCAAGTGTCGGCCACCTCATCAAGTATGTCAAATCAAATTGGCTTTGCAGCTGGCGGTGTTGGCACGATTGGAAACAGTAATGCCGTCAATTCAAATGGTAAGTTTCATCGGAAGAAATTGCATTCGATTGCGAAAATTCGAAGTTTCGGCTTTTTGAATCAGAATCAATTTCGAATGCCAGCTTCACAGTTTTTTCATCCTCATTTTCCTTTTTTTTCTTCAAAAATACACCAATCGATTCTGATTTTAACTCCTTTTTCTCTTCACTACTTTTAAAGGTATCGCCAACAGCTGCGGGATCTCACAAATCGGCAATTCAAATGGTCAGCCACAGTCGAATGAATTCAATGAACCGTACGATAACAACAGTCTAATCGATATTGCCGTTGGTTCACATTTCTTGAACGGTGGCCAAGAGCGTAGCTCATACACATCGGGCTACGGTGCATGGGACATGGAAAATGTGGATCTGAGCGAAGATTTCAAAAAACACTATGAAGTGTGGCTACAAAAGGAAGTGTTCAGCATTAAAATCGATTGGGACTCATTGCGAACGGTGTACGATATTGAAATGGACGACAATAAAGTGAATGGGAAAACGTTGAATGATGCAACCGCCAAAATTGATTCTAAAGTTGTGATCCAGTGATTTCATCATCGAAATTAATGTCATCTGGAATCGTCAAAATCAAAATGTGTATTCGTTTGGCACAGCAAATTTTCCTACGAAACATACAACAACATCAACACTCAAGCCACATAATATCAATGTCCTTTGTAGATTTATTGTTTAAAATATGCTTAATAAATTAGTACGGAAAATCACACACTAACAAAATAAAAAAAAACCCAGATCAATTCTCAAAAGATGTGTTTTGATTGTGAAATGTGAGTTTCATTTTTATTACGCAGAGAGAGCGCTGTTTTGAAGTCATAAATCACTGAGACATCGCGCATACAATATGTGTATTTTCCCCTCGTTTCCCATTTTCTTCTTGCTTTTCTCGCAATTTCTGAAGAAAATTGGATTTTTGTATAATGTTTATATTCCAAAAGGTGACGTCGACGCGCCATCTGCATGAACAAAGCAACTGTCAGTCTCACTTTTGGAACTATGACTTTTGATACCATAGAAACGTACGAAATGGTATTAGATTGAACAAAAAGTGATAAAGAGAAATGTTTTTGCTGCCAATATTATTTCATATAATAAAATCAAGCAAATTCTAATACTTCTGCATTTAATGTAGTGATAAAAACTAATGTATGAGCTAAAATATAAAAAAAATAAATAAATAAAAACGGGTATCGAACTTTTGACCCTTCACATTAAAGTGTGAGTTGCTAACGCTTGCGTTGTGGAATCCGTTGGAGTTCATATGGTTTTAAATGAACACACTCAATGGCTTTTTAAGCATTTTCATACCATTTCGACAATAATATATATTTCAATAGATTAAAATAGATTTTTTTTTACATTTTATCCATTGCGCCAAACCAATAAATGAAAGAAATGCAAATTAAATTTGATTTACTTCGTTTATTAAGTGAACAATACATTTTGATGTTCATAGAAAATGTGATTTCGTCTCGAGACACACACCGCCACCACAGCCCTGTGGTAAAACGCGCGCACCGGAGCGCCGGCGGTAGTGAGTTCGATTCTCTCACGGAAATTGGGGATCCGAAGGGCTGAGCAATCAATCAAAATCAAAAACCATTGTTGTTATTATATGTTCGAAAAAAGAAAAAAAAAGAGTTCCCCCAATTTTTTGACAAATTAGATTTAAAAATAAAATTTTTTTTGATTGAAATGAAGATATTTTGTTTGTTCAGTTGATTGGTACTGAGATCTTCATCGGTATCTGAAAAATAAAATAAAACTGTTTGAATCATTGGTTTAATTTAAACTATACAAAAAGTATATGCCTGGCAAATTATACACTGGTAACTTAACTCGCGATTTTATTTTAAACAATTTCATTTTGCTTTCAATAATTAAGTAATAATTTGTTTGTAGAATAATTGAATTTACTTACTGATGGTCTGGACGACGAAGAATTTAATGTTTGAAGATCTTTTTGAGCCATTCTCCAATTGAATTATAACCGAAATGATGTTCGTTTTGTCAAAGGTATGAAAGTCAAGGTGCATTTGGCTTTTTTCTCCGTATGTACGTATACGCACAGCTATTGAATGTGAAACATATGCACACGCATACTCTGTATTCATGCGTTGGCAAATCGTAGGCTAGACAGCAGATGTTCATTTCGATAATTGGCCTGTTGAATGATTTTTTTAATGGAAAATTTCAGAAATGTTTTGATTTGAGCACAATCATATTGAAAACATACATCGTTTTATTAAATGTGACCACTTCTTCTTAATCTATTTGATTATTTAATTTTGTTTTCTATGAACGATAAATGTCCGAAAAAAAGCAGACGCCATTTTGAACGATTAGAATTGACGCATTATTTTCGTTTCGATTGGAATTTTGCCGTTGATTTTTCACACAAATGAGTAAATAGTTTGTTAAAAAAATATTGGAATTTTACTTACTGATGGTCTGGACGATGAAGAATTTAATGTTTAAAGATCTTCTTGAGCCATTTTCCAACTAATTTATAGCCGGAATGATGTTCGTTCACGACAAAGGTTGAATAATGACTGGCTTGGCTTGGCTTCTTCTCCGCATGTGTGTATATTCACAGAACATATAACATATGCATACGCACACATGCTTACATTTATATTCACTGATATATAGAATACACTACCCTGCAAAAGTTTGAATTCATGAGCTTTATTTTCATACAAAATATTTGTTTGGAAATATGCAATGATGGCGATTATAACTATGAGTTGTGGTCTCTATCTATATGAAATGTGCCATGTTGATTGTGTACAATTTGAAGAACAAAATAACTGAATTTTTGGAGAAAAAAAGTACTAAATATTTCACACTGCCGGACCCACAACTTTGCACAGTAGTGTATCGGAAAAGGTTTCTATGGCTGTTTGGTTGTGAATGTGTTTACACGCATGCGTATTGACACACGTATGGTCTAATAATGTATTTGTCGAGAATTTTCGTACTGCACGAATCATATACAATGTCTTCTGACGTCTAAACTCACAAAGGCACAATGAACATCATTTTCATAGAACAGCGGTTTGAGCAGATGTTCATAGTATATTATGCAATGTTCTATTCCGTTTGTAACACAGTCCAACAAAATTCGGGTCATGGAAAAATAACGCACAATGGCATATCAGACATGAAAGTATTCCTAGAGACTAGCAAAACCCCAAAGGCGTTTTGCATTATTTGCTCGTATAAGAAAGTAATGGCCATAGGCAGTTTTCGTTGCTCATTCGATTTTTCTCAATATGGTACATGTAGATTTTGGGCCATATCTTGTAAAATATTCGAATTATTATGTTGTTGTCAACGGCAAAGTTGTAGAAAAGAGTCTAGTTAACGAATTTTTTGAACATACTATACCCTAAAAAAAAACTTTTTGTCAATGTTTTGGAGCAAAATGTCGAAAAAATCGGAAAAAAATTCAATTTTTCGACCAGAGCTCAAAAAGTATGCAATTTTTTTGGTTATTGTTTTCAGCAAAGTTGTAGCCAAAGTAACACTGCTAATTTTTACTCTTGATGCCAAACCAAAAAAATCACGTTTTAACCATTTTTTGGACCGAAAATCGCTTTTTAGTACCAGAAATGGCCATTCTGTTCAAGTTTTTGGCCGATTACTTGCAAATAACCATATATATTTTCATATTATTCGCTTGGATTTTCATAAAAGTGTCTCTGCAGATAACTTGAACGAATTTTTTAACTAATTTAATGAAAGAATTCACTCATTTGTCAAAAAATTTCGGGTTTTGGAACAATTTTTGAGCATTTGGTGGATATTAAGCCAAATTGAGTCATGAAAACAGTAATATTTCAGGATTGAATGTATTCCATATCAAAGCTGATGATCACAGCTAAAAAATGAGTTCAATGCGATCCACTTATAACATCTAGTTGGAAAGTTATCTCTCTACAAGTGATGACATGTCGATTTTTTCACGATTTTGGCGCTAGACATCACTTAAGAAGCCATAACTACCCAACCAGACGTCATAGAGAGATCGCATTTTCCATATTTTCTAGGTAAGAACCTCAGCTTTAAAATTCCGTACAGCTAAATCTGAAAAATATCACCTGTCATGACATTATTTGGCTCAATGTCCACAAAATCCCGAAAAATGGGTCCAAAAATCAAATTTTCTCTATAAAAATAATTTTTTTTCACTCAAATATTAAAAATCATGCTTGAATTATCTGAAGTGATGTTGGAAGTATCCATAAAGATATTCTCTAATAGAAAAAATTGATTTTTGGACCCATTTTTGGGGATTTTGTGGACATTGAGCCAAATAATGTCATGACAGGTGATATATTTCAGATTTAGCTGTACGGAATTTTAAAGCTGACGTTCTTACCTAGAAAATATGGATAATGCGATCTCTCTATGACGTCTGGTTGGGTAGTTATGGCTTCTCAAGTGATGACTAGTGGCAAAATCGTGAAAAAATCGACATGTCATCACTTGTAGAGAGATAATTTCCCAACTAAACGTTATAAGTGGATCGCATTGGACTCATTTTTTAGCTGTGAACATCAGCTTTGAAATGGAATACATTCAATCCTGAAATATTACTGTTTCCATGAATTGATTTTGCTTCATATCCACCAAACGCTCAAAAATTGTTCCAAAACCCGAAATTTTTTGACAAATGAGTGAATTTTTTTATTTAATTAGCTAAAAAATTCATTCAAGTTATCTACAGAGATACTTTTATGAAAATCCAAGCGAATATAAAATGAAAATATATATGGTTATTTGCAAGTAATCGGCCAAAAACTTGAACAGAATGGCCATTTCTGGTACTAAAAAGCGATTTTCGGTCCAAAAAATGGTTAAAACGTGATTTTTTTGGTTTGGCATCAAGAGTAAAAATTAGCAGTGTTACTTTGGCTACAACTTTGCTGAAAACAATAACCAAAAAAATTGCATACTTTTTGAGCTCTGGTCGAAAAATTGAATTTTTTTCCGATTTTTTCGACATTTTGCTCCAAAACATTGACTAAAAGTTTTTTTTAGGTTATAGTATGTTCATAAAATTTATTCAATGGACTCTTTTCTACAACTTTGCCCTTGACAGCAACATAATAATTCAAGTATTTTACAAGATATGGCCCAAAATCTACATGTACCATATTGAGAAAAATCGAATGAGCAACGAAAACTGCCTATGGCCATTACTTTCTTATACGAGCTAATAATGCAAAACGCCTTTGGGGTTTTGCTAGTCTATAGGAATACTTTAATGTCTGATATGCCATTGTGCGTTATTTTTTTTTTGTTGTACTGTGTAATCTGCGCTCAACGCGCTTCATTACGTTTCATTCCACTTTAAGTATCCATAGTGTACACAGTCCATAAAGCCGAATGAAGTGAATATTAACTATATAAGGGACATTCAACAGAGCGGGATAGCGCGAAATGTACGGAGCCGGTCACATACACACACGCGCACGCTTCGTTTGTATGCGGCGCAGAGTGCGTGCGACACTACGAATAAACATGGCGCGTCTGCACACAGAGTGTGTGTCGCACACATATGGATACTTAGAGCGGAATGAAGCGTATATGAAGCGCGTTGAGCGCAAGTTACAAACGGGATGAAATTTACTTGGCAGATGCACAGAAACTGAACATGATTTCCTTCTATGAGTTGCATATAAATCACACTGAAAACCATCCACCTTCGTCGTTGTCGTATATACTATACATGCGAATGTGTGTGCATGGTGCTATTTTCGTGTACAGTGAACGCATTTATACAGACCGAAATGAATTTGGAAGAAATCTCAATTGATTTCATCAAGTTGAATGAATTTATCGGTGTGATTGTGATCGCACGCAATTTCATTTTTCGATTGGATTTTTTGTCTGTTCGCACACATTTATCTGAAATAAACATGAGTAAACATCAATATATCTGGTTATTTTTAACATGATATAATAGTTTTATGTTTTTAAAACATAGATGTTCAAAGTTGATGAGTTTTTCGTTTACATTACGTATCTATTCCGTTTCTGAAATACTTTATTGTTTATCGGTTTCGCGAGAGAGAAAAACTCAACAAAATTGAAAAATTCCGAATATACGGTTGTTCTGACACATAAGAAATCATTACCGATCATAAACTCACCATTTTCAAGGTAAATAACAACGTATAGGCGATCTTGAAAAAATCGTACACGAAACAAAGAACCAGAAAAACAAGCGTCCAAATAACTCGTCCATCTGATCACTTGATTGAGTTTTGTGAGCTCAAGTTGAACTTATAACATAAGCTCGTCGCAAAGGCGTTTAATCGCCAGCCAATCTCTCTCTCTCACTTTCTCTGTTCTTAACCTAGAATTCGGAAATTGGACCACTTAAATCTAATGAAAGAATAAATGCTGTGTTTCATTTTAGTCATATAAATGCGTTTTATTTTTTTATCTGTTTTATTTTCTCTCGTTTTTTTTTTGCTCGGTTTTCTTTCTTGCAATTTTTCGATTTATTGTAACCATCAAAATATGTTCCTTTTAGTATTATTACATCCTTCTTGCTTTTTCTTTTAATTTTTCTCCATTTTTTTTTCTCTTTAAATTTAATCGATAACTACATAAGGCAAAATGGTTAAGAGTTCATCATTATATGATTTGACGTGGACCACCTCATACCATTCTTTAAATTTATATTCATTCACTGAAACTCCATTCGTATTCTCCGCGCCCAAATTATTGAAGCTAGGCAACATTCCGATATTTTCTGATGATAGTGACGATTCGGGTTCAGTTTTCTCCTATGGAATAATAAATGAGACCGCAATTACGTTAGACAATCAATCAACTAGTTTTAACCGTTTCCTTTTTCAAACCTCAACTCGTGACTTTTTGCGAGAGAAAAACAAAGTGATTTCTCCTGGAATCGTCGACATCAAAATGTGTATTCGTTTGGCACAGCAAATTTTCCTACGAAACATACAACAACATCAACACTCAAGCCACACAATATCAATGTCCTTTGTAAATTTATTGTTTAAAATATGCTTAATAAATATTAGTACGGAATATCACACACAAATAAAAGAAAAATTCTCAAAAAATGTGTTTTGATTGTGAAATGTTTACGCAGAGAGGAGCGCTGTTTTGAAGTCATAAATTACTGAAAATGTCATGTGGATGGGATTACAATGGGAGATCATGTTTTTCACATTCATTGTGCGTATCGAATTTGTACATAAGCGAAGGAGAGCGGCAACAAAACTGTGAACGCAACCCGACAACGATCGTGTGTCTTTTCCATACTTTTTTTACTCTTTATTCTGCCTCAGCATATATCTGAGCACGTCTAAAAACATTTTTTCGCTCGAATTGCGCATACAATGTGTGTATTTTCCTCTCGTTTTCCATTTTCTTCTTGCTTTTCTCGTTCGCATCCAATACGTTGTGTGCTTGTGTGTATTACGTGTGTTGGTCTCTCTCTCTCTCTCTCTCTCTCTCTCTCTCTCTCTCTCTCTGTGTGTGTGTGTGGGAGAGTCGGTGTGTATGTATGCTGGTTGTGTCAATGTCGTTGTTT